TGTAGTGCACCATGAACTCACCCTCCTGTCCCATCTCGCTATGAAACTATATTTCTGGGAAGCTCAACCAGGACACGTGGCAAGCTGGCAGACACTGACCTCCCTCAGCCCTGCCCACTTTTACGACTAGCCCTTGCCCACACAGCGAGTGGCCTCCCAGGTTCTTGTTGACACTCGCCCTGCCTACTCCTCTGCCAACCCCCACCCACGACTCAGCTAGCACCGTCTATTTCCCTGTACCATTAGTTGAGCACGAGGCCAGAATAAACGCATTGCAAAACCCCCAACGGAAAAAAAATTCCTCCCAACACCGGGATAGACTTTCTGATAGCAGGTCGTTTGATGACTTTCATCTCACTTGAATAGTGCACGACGCGTAACTCACTCACTCACACACACATGGCTCAACCCGCTACAAACGCCCACAGCTCCGGCACCCGAACCCGGCTGTCATCACTGCTCATAGCCGTGACCCGGGCTGCCGTGACTGCCGTGGCCGGATGGTCCCATTGCCATCATCGGCAGCGTCGCGTGCGGCGCCCTCGCATGGTGGCCGCCGCCGCCGCCGCCGCCGCCGCCGCCCGCGTGTCTCTTCTTGTGGTGCGCCAGGTTGGACGTGGCCGCGAAGCGTCGGCCGCACACCCGACAGCGGTAGGGCTTCTCGCCGGTGTGCGTGCGCGCGTGCAGCTTCAGGTAGGAGCTGAGCGCGAACACCTTCCCGCACTGCTCGCAGCGGTACGGCTTCTCGCCCGTGTGCGTCCGCGCGTGCCGGGCGTATGCCCGCGCCCGCGTGAACACCTTCCCGCACACGGCGCAAGCGCAGGGGCTCTCGTCCGGGCGGGTGCGCCGTCCGACGCTACCCGCAACGCCGCCGCGATCGGTTGGATCCGAGGGCAGCGTGGTGGCGGTGGCGGTGATGTAGGCCGATCGCTGGGCACAGCTGGGCTGACCATCAAACGGCACGGCGGAATGGTGCGGGTGCGGAACGTTCCTGTGCCGCAGCCAGCTAGTGCCGCGTTGTTGCTGGGGGGCCGCTGAGGAGACGGTAGGGAGCTGAGCAGAGGCTGGGTGGCAGGGAGGGCCGCGCAGGTGAGGGGTGTTGGGGTCCCGAGGGCACTCTTCAAGCCGGACGGCTGACGGTAGAAGGGGACACGCGTTAAGACTCATGCAGATTTCACACGCAAGGCAAAGTGCAAGACTAGGAGCGAGGCTGTCTGCTCGGTGAAGTCATCGATCAGTTCACCGCTCTACGAGGCATCGGTACGACGTGTAGCCTTTTACATATTTTGTGTTAAGTGCTGTGGCCAGAAATACACCCGTCTGCTTTGTCCCCCTGCTTTTTAGGTAAATTGATATTCTTGGTTCTTTTGGTAAAGTCACGTAGAAGGGAAATAATTAAATAACACAAATAAAACTATACAATTCTCACGAAGTTTCGATTGCAACACAAGCAATCATCATCAGGTGTGCAAACCACAGCAAGAAAATAAAAAAGTGGCGGATTTTTCACATTTTCTTGCTGATGATGATTGCTTGTGTTGCAATCTAAACGTGGTGAGAATTTTATTGTTTGATTTGTATTATTTTATTATTTCCCTTATACGTGATTTTACCGAAAGAACCAAGAATATAAATCCCTGCAGTCACGAAAGCTTTAAATCGGAAGGTAAATTGTATTGCCCGTCTCGTAAAATATTTACTTTCATTAAATGCCGAGTCAACCTGGTGGAGAATCTAGGACTGGTTCTGATACCACTTAACACTAATTGCTGTTGACAGTGGCCGGGATCCAAACTCTGGTCGCCAGGGTTGTATCAGATGGCTCGAACCACAACAGCACCACTCCCCACACACATGTGCAAAGACAAAGATCCCCCGTATAGCCTTAACAGACTGTTGGGGCAAGTGCGGTTAGCGAGCACCTACAGTGAGGGAAAAATTTATTTGATCCCCTGCTGATTTTGTACGTTTACCCACTGACAAAGAAATGATCAGTTTATAATTTTAATGGTAGGTTTATTTGAACAGTGAGAGACAGAATAACAACAACAAAAATCCAGAGAAACACATGTCAAAAATGTTATAAATTGATTTGCATTTTAATGAGGGAAATAAGGATTTGACCCCTCTGCAAACATGACTTAGTACTTGGTGGCAAAAGCCTTGTTGGCAATCACAGAGGTCAGACGTTTCTTGTAGTTGGCCACCAGGTTTGCACACATCTCATGAGGGATTTTGTCCCACTCCTCTTTGCAGATCTTCTCCAAGTCATTAAGGTTTCGAGGCTGACGTTTGGCAAATCGAACCTTCAGCTCCCTCCACAGATTTTCTATGGGATTAAGGTCTGGAGACTGGCTAGGTCACTCCAGGACCTTAATGTGCTTCTTCTTGAGCCACTCCTTTGTTGCCTTGGCCGTGTTTTGGGTCATTGTCATGCTGGAATACCCATCCACGACCCATTTTCAATTCCCTGGCTGAGGAAGGAGGTTCTCACCCAAGATTTGACGGTACATGGCCCCGTCCATCGTCCCTTTGATGTGGTGAAGTTGTCCTGTCCCCTTAGCAGAAAAACACCCCCAAAGCATAATGTTTCCACCTCCATGTTTGACGGTGGGGATCGTGTTCTTGGGGTCATAGGCAGCATTCCTCCTCCTCCTCCAAACACGGCGAGTTGAGTTGATGCCAAAGAGCTCCATTTTGATCTCATCTGACCACAGCACTTTCACCCAGTTGTCCTCTGAATCATTATGTTCATTGGCAAACTTCAGACGGGCATGTGTGCTTTCTTGAGCAGGGGGACCTTGCGGGCGCTGCAGGATTTCAGTCCTTCACGGCATAGTGTTACCAATTGTTTTCTTGGTGACTATGGTCCCAGTTGCCTTGAGATCATTGCCAAGATCCTCCCGTGTAGTTCTGGGCTGATTCCTCACCGTTCTCATGATCATTGTAACTCCACGAGGTGATATCTTGCATGGAACCCCAGGCCGAGGGAGATTGACAGTTATTTTGTGTTTCTTCCATGTGCGAATAATCGCACCAACTGTTGTCACCTTCTCACCAAGCTGCTTGGCAATGGTCTTGTAGCCCATTCCAGCCTTGTGTAGGTCTACAATCTTGTCCCTGACATCCTTGGAGAGCTCTTTGGTCTTGGCCATGGTGGAGAGTTTGGAATCTGATTGGTTGATTGCTTCTGTGGACAGGTGCCTTTTATACAGGTAACAAGCTGAGATTAGGAGCACTCCCTTTAAGTGTTCTCCTAACCTCAGCTCGTTACCTGTATAAAAGACACCTGTGAGCCAGAAATCTTTCTGAGGGGGTCAAATACTTATTTCCCTCATTAAAATGCAAATCAATTTATAACATTTTCGACATGTGTTTTTCGGGATTTTGTTGTTGTTATTCTCTCACTGTTCAAATAAACCTACCATTAAAATGAGACTAATCATTTCTTTGTCAGTGGGCAAACGTACAAAATCAGCAGGGGATCAAATACTTTTTTCCCTCACTGTATAAAGCCGGCACGGTACACGAGGGGGTGGGTGGTCAGCACCACGCCCGGCTGCCTTTGTCTCCCCAGTGACAATGCTTACACGCCGCACCAGGTACTAATTTAAGGCTGAATTGACCTAGGGGTGTTGACCACGAACAGGAATCGAACTCAGGTCTCTGGGTTCGTTGCGCAGCATGCTACCCGCTACACTACCGCTCCCCACACACACGGGCACACGCGTAAATGTACACACACGTATGGGCACACACGCATACAGACAAATTATAACCTCCACATGCCACTTGGGTCATACTTCACAGCGCTCGTCAGTGTGGGTTGGTGAAAGCAGGGAGTGCAGATGGAGTGTAGTACATTACCACAGTGCACTGTCCTTATGCTGATACCGTGGCCCCATAGCTTGTCCAAGCACCATGCAGGCTCAACCCTGCTTAACTTCCGAGATCTGACGAGATCGGATGAATTTCGGGAGATTTGTAAATATGCAACCTGACGTAAGTTTTTTTTATTTAACCAGGTAGGGCTCACGGGGTCTTAAGACTGTTTGATGAGGGTCGTATGTTTGGTGCGTTTGCATGTGGGAAGGAACTGTAGCACCTGAAGAAAACCCACACATAGGCGGAGATAACACAAAAAATCTGTACTGATAGGGTCAGTATCCTACTTGCTGTACGGCATGGCCAGCTACTTGGCCACCTTGTAGCCCAGTGGGTATGGAATCTCACACACGTAATGATCTTTGTGCAGTCCGCCAACGAGGCTTCTGAATCAATGGATCGCAGACATGCACCAGCCACCAACACTGTCGCCAACAATTACCAACATAATGATGACGTATCTTTAAGAAATTAACGTGCATTTTTATTATTTGTTAAAATCAATACCACCAAAGGGGGCCAGAGGCGCGTGAGATTCGACCGTTTACACGCGGAAACTTTAACGCCTTGAAACTAAAGTTGCAGGAGACGATATTTCACGGGTGTGACACAGTGAATGGGCCACAGGAGAGAAACACGTGGCACTGCAAAGGTGAATACGTATTTAGAGACGGCTACTTATGGACACCCCAATTAATTGAGCTGCCCAGTGTTTGTAGATGCCACTATCATTAAGCAAGAGGGCCCTCTGCCTCTGGTGATCACAGTCTGCTCTCGAATATGCGAGGTAATGGAGGGTTAAGAGTATCCTGCACGAAAAGCAAAACACGGAAGCGCTTGTGTGAATTAGACGATACACGAACGCATGTAACCCAAGATGGAGAAAGGGGGGAGGGTGAAGATATCGAATTTAATATAATTTTACTTTTTTATTTCTTGAAAGTGTTTGGTTTAACTTGCCGACTTTGTTTATGGTCACGTGGGCACCGAATCCCGGACCCTGGCCGAGTGAGGCGCAGCTGATTTTTAAACCATCGAGACGTACTGTCGGGTTGTACTGCGAGCTGTTCAGCGCAATGTCCTGCCGAACACAAGACCTACGTTCAAACCGGCGGCGCATTAAAAATAATAATTCTTTATTTCATAATCACGGTTAATACGCAACTCCGATCATCATCTGCCCATGGACAATCGGGCTGTTTAACTGTGCGATTACGAGGGATGTAACAATTCGCCGCCCTCCAGCGATCCGATTGTCACGATTCGGCATCATGATTACATGATTACGCTCGTCTCATTTGTATTGCCCGTCTCGTAAAATATTCACCTTCAATTTTTCCCGCGAGCGTAAACCTCACATCGGCAGTACAATTTGTACGCAATGCGCGCACATGACAAACAATGGACTCGGGTGCACGATTCAATGCACGCATCGGGAAGGTAAGAATCGATTTGAATCGATGGGTCGTGACATGGCTAATGATTACACAGCTTTACACAACCGGTGTTGCGAACATATGAATGTCAGTCAGTCAGATGAGTTTACTGATAAGGTCAACAATACAACTGCATGCATTTTTTTTTATTTCCATCAGCAAAAGTGGCCCGGAAACTGGTCCCCTGGACCTGAGCTGCGTGCAAGTGTAAGATAGTATTTTGACCCACACAGGTTTTGGACCCCGGGGGTCAGAACAATATATAGTATTTTTATCCTCCACTGTGATCGTTCAACTCAGTGGGGCGGCAACACGGCCTAGGAGTTTTTAATTTGTCGCAGACGTTCATGGTTTGAGATCCTGCGGCCGCTCTGGTTATCACCGCGGTTGTGAATTAACCCTAAACTTCACAGTGGACATTAAAGAACCCGCTATGTCATTCGCAAGGAGGCCGCCGTGTGCCGGCGTCATGGTATACATTTTAAAAGTTACCGCCAAATTTACTCCATTGGGATGATACTAAACAGCAGCAATCACCAGCCCCCCTTACTGCGAAAACTTGGCAGGACCCTCCTGAAAACGAGTCATGACACTCAGCGAGGCTTTGCCGGGTAAGCAAGCGGAATGACACGGCCAGCCCGTTCGGGTCATTCACCCATGTAATACTGTAGGGGAACTGGTCTATGGTACTTTAATATAGACAAAACCAATTTGAAAGTTGCAACAAAAACCTTCGGACGGACACTCTGACCCTCAATTGCATTCTTACCCTGGGGTCCAAATTCTAGGCGTCAAAATACTTTCTCATGCCACAACCATAACAGCATTTCCCCGTCTTTGTTATCGATGGGAGGAACCGTGGCACAATTATCACAAACAAGGGCCCTTGCAGTGACCGGGCACGTGATATGATGCAGGACCGGGCACGACTGCACGCGTGGGCATTTTGCAAACAAAACAATCGAAATTTACAGGCTAACCGCGTGGACACCACTGATACCGCTTGCATAAAACACCTCAAAGGAAGACATCAGATGAAAACGGATCGCTCTTTATCGTCTAGATCAGGGGTGGGGAAAGCGACTACCTGTAAGCTGACATTATTTTACAAGGCCCGTGACCACACGAGGCCTGGCACTTTGAAACGGCCTGCAAACGATACTTATCCGTCACTGCGAGGCATCTTCGCTGCGCTTATCGTGAACGAGAATGGGAGTGAATTCGAGGTGAGCAACACCGTCCGTCAGGTCACCTGTTTGTGTTTCAAATACTGTAGTTCCAAGCACAAAGATTAATGGCAACTAAACTTTACACGGGCTAGGAATGAATAAGGTTTAGTATCAACAAACATGCGGTTGGCCGCCACTGGAAATTAACAGTTTCCCCCACCAATTTTATAGATGTATATATGTCAACAGCAGCCTGAAGCTATTAATTATAAAGTAATTTACATTCACGATCAGATGCGCGACTATATCAAGGCATGCTCTTTTCAATTTACCGCAGTGTGCCTGCCCTGCATTTCACTTGCATCTACGTCGGGATGTGTGGTGCATTGTGGAAGCGTGCACTACAGTGACGTCACAACACGTGGTGCATTGTGGGAGCCAGCCACATTAAGTTAAAAGGAGACCGATAGCATTTGTTGTGGAATTTAAAATGAGAAGTGGGGGTTGCTTGTTCTGGGCAAAAATTATTGATGTTATAATTCAGCTGCCTCAATGCTGCCAGCCGATGCTATTTGAGTAATGATGTCAATTAGTCGTCATGACCGTCCCCGCAGATTTGTAATAAGAAAAGCAATCCTTATGTACGTATGTTGAACTTCTTTCGCACCGTATGTAGCCAACCGTGCCAATCAGGAGGTGCAGGGGAAGGACAACAAACTTAATAAAAAAATCCGTTCTAAAATTATATGAACTACTTACTGCCCCCAACCCCGAACCCTTACTCTTAAATCTTAACCCCTACCTCGATTAGTTGCTTTTTGTCATTCCGCTTCTTTACCCAGGAAAGCCTCACCAAGTCTCAAGACTTTTTCAGGAGGGTCCTGCCAAGTTTTCGCACTGGGGGGCCATGCTGCTGCTGTGTGTAATCTCAATTGAGTAATTCTTAAGTCATATTTTTAGTATTGAGATGTTTAGCCAATGTCGGTTACAATGTGTGTGTGTATATATACAAATATATTTTTAGCTGTGGGGGGAAACCGGAGAACACGACTCAGGCACAGAACCCAGGCCCTTCTTGCGGTGTGGCACGAGTGTTACCCCCTGTGCCACCCTGCCGTCAAACTCGGAAGCCTTAACCCAGTGTTCTTCACTAATTTTCAGAGGGGGGCCACCTTCGCCGATAAGACATCATCAGTGTGAGGGCCACCACACATTTTAAGTCAATGGGTTTGACAGCAGCACGACGATGGGGTCTTTTCACATTCGTGTATTGTTGGGTCCGCACTAAAGGCCATCAGGGACTACGAGTGGTCCGCGAGCCTTGCAATGAAGAACACTCCCTTAATCCCCAACCCTGACCCTAAGACCCCAACCCTAAGCCCTTACCCCTGACCTTACACGAAAATAAAGAGGCGGTATCCCTAAATATTTCACCAGCTGCGAGCGGAAGAAACCGGAATTTGAAAAGGCCACAAACTGGAAAGTGCTAATCAGAGGTCTGCGATTGGACAAAAATCTTCTCTATGATTGGATAAATCAAAAACAATCTCTGGGGACAGCAGCGCCAGAGGCTGCCCTCCTTGTCCCTCATCTGCGGAGAGACGGCCGTCACTCACAAATAAAAATCGTGACAATTTGCAGTTTTAGTCTCTACTTCCTTTTAGTGGGGACTTTCTCCACTTGATTTTCATTTAAAGCTGCTCCAACGTTTTGGGGATGTAGTCACTCGAGGCGTTGCAATGCCTCCGGTCAGTGTAGGGCACGAGACCACAATGAAACACAACCACTGAATGCCCCGATCTGGCAGTATTTTAAGTTCAAAAGGCAAAAAACACAGAGCAAAAAATGCAACGGGTTTGTTGTGAAGTGTTAAAATGTACGGTACTTTTATGCGATCGGGTAAACGCGATATATCAGGTTTAAGAATGCATTGTAGGATATACCTTAAGTGATCAAACACTGAACTTCAGTGCTAGAGTTTACAAAATGGACATTCCATTGCTATGCAAAGCACAACTACTGCAAATTGTAAAAACACTCCAAAAAGATAAGTATTTATGATTACTCTGCAATCTTCCAACCTGTGCAATTTAAACCAAACAAAACCAGTCAAACGATTGAAATTGTTATTATAATTCTATTTAACAGCCTCTTTGGAGGCCTAATCATTATTGCCAAAACCTAGGTGCCAAACAAGCCGCCAGTGTTAACAGTTCTTGAATTTGTGGTTCATTCCCAGCCAATATTTTAATTTCCAAAATCACACACGCACACAGTACAGCACCACGTTGGGGAGCATTATCTAAAAGAAAGGCACAACTCAAAAAAACATCAATTCATTCTCAATAATTTAGTCTGACTATATACTGGCTTGTACTTTGCAGCCATTTGTCAATCCACTTGTGGATGAAGCCCCCTGCCCCACCTCCACCCCACGCCGTATCAGACGATAGGATTTGTCAGATCATACTTCACCACGCGGGTCCGTACGGGTTGGTGAACAGTTGGGGGCGGCACGCGTGGGGGAAGTGCGCAGGACCGGTCAAGATATCGCTCGCCATTCTCTCTACAACCCCCGCCACCTCCCTTAAACATTATGTTCCTGATCGTTGCCCCATGAGAATAAGAGTAGTGAGCCCAGTCACCTCTTGCCGGTCACTATTCCGAGGGCATCATCGAGTTCTCTCTCCACCGTCGTGCGTGTTCTGTATTGGGCTCTTTTTTAATAATAATAAAAAAACATTTAAAATAAAATAAATCACTCGCCACTGATGTTGGCCATGGCCAGGAGTTGAATTCGGATCACCACGTGCGTAGCGCTGCATGCCAGCCGCTCTCTGCTACGGCTGCATGGCTTTGTTTAAGCACCGCAACGTATGATCTGTAGCAATTTCAAACCGCGCTCATTCCTGCATGCAACGTTATCTTCTGTACATCGCCCACTGCGGCACTGCGCCAAGACACCCGACGTAGAGATCAAAAGTTCATGACTTCGCCCACATTCTGTCCAGCAGTGGTTGTTGCTATAGTGTAACCCACCCCCCGCTATGGGAATGAGGAATGTCCACCACTGGCAACGAAGGCGAGCGCCGCCCTCGCGTTCGCCGGAGTAGGAAGACGTTGTTGGAAGTCAGGCGTGATTTGTTGGTTTAAAAACCGGTCCCTTACATAGGAATGGAGGAATTTCCACCGCTGGCTTACGGATCACCAAGAATGATGATCGCCGTCAAAATCATGAGAGCCATTTTTTTCGAATTCGGTAACAATATTTAAAGAGCCGCAATGCACGTGGTGAAGACGAAACGGTAGTCAATAAATGTCACAAAGCAGCGGTCCCTAAAGAGACGCATGTGGCGCCGGAGCTGCAGGTTGCCAACCCTTGGCATATTGGGACACAGCCTTGTATTGGCGATAGAAATAACTTTTACATCCTTGGACGGGACTGCCAGGCAGCTGGAACTGTGGTAGTATGAAGCGAGAGTGCGTAGGCACTCATGAGTACTCATCGTACAGTGAAATGAGCGTTGTCTGATGCGGCCAGGTGGCGAACCTACACCTGTGCCTTAGGAGATTCTCTCTCCGATGGCATTGCGAGTCTGAGCTGGCGGTGAACTTTCAACCTTGCGACTCCACTTATTAAACGTGCTCGTCACTCATTTCAACAACGGAGCTTCCAAGCAGCGGTAAGGAACCTTTTCCTTCAGGGCTAGACAGAGACTTTTAAAACCTTGGCAAAGATCTCCCGTATAGCCTCAACAGATTTTTGGAACAAGTGCTGTTAGGGATCACCTATGAAGCCTGACAGGTACACCAGGGGGTGGGTGGCCACCACCACGCCCGACCGCCTTTGTTTCCCCAGTGGTGATGTTTAGACACTGCATCAGATACTCATTTGAGCCTGAGTTAATCTGGGGAAGGCCTGGGACTGGTTCAGATAATCTTCCCTGGTGTTGGCCGTGAGCAGGAATTGAACTGCGGTCACTGGGTTCATAGCCCAGCACGCTGACCGCTGCACCACCGCTCCCCACCTTTTCCTGAATGAGGGCCAAATGGGGACTTTGAAATACCTTTGGCAAGATACGTGTTAACGCACACACACACATACCTCAGTAACCATCTGTCGCTGCAAGGGGCCCTCGTGGTGACGGAAGTGACCGAGTGCACGAACATGATGAACACAATATCACCACGGTCAAGATAATCACCCTCTGGAAACTGATTAGTGTGGACAAGATGCTGGCAGTGGAAATATTAATGTGGGTGCTGCGGAGGCGAAATGTTAACTGTCTTGCCTGGTATACAGGAGGTTATGGGTTCGATCCCGAACCTTATGCCTGTATATTTGGAGTTTTCATGATCTCTCCGTAGTCGCATAGATTTTTCTCCGGGTCCTCTGGTGTTTCCCTCCAAACTTAGCAATATGCATTTAAAAGTTTTTGGCCACAATAAATTTCCACGTGATAAGCCACTTTGTTGAGCTATCATTTGTGGCCAAGTCGCTTCTGAAAAAGAGCCACGTAGCTCAGTGGGCGACATCTGGTAAAATACAAAAAGTTTAGTTCAGAAAATTGTTTGTGGGCTAATTTTAAGGAGTAGCTCTCATTTGGCCACAGGACATATAAAGCAAAGTCAAAGGCATTGGCTTCCTCACCCCAGGTCAAAAGTGTTATCAATATCACAATGGGACGGACTCTTGCTGTGATCGGGGCTTACGTGTGAAATTTACGGGGAGGAAACTTTTGTCAGCAAAGGCAATGCCAAACACAGTTCACAACTCTGGCAACTGCCTGATGATGCGAAACGTCGTACCCAATCGTTAACCGTGTGTGGATTGATCTCCAACATTACCGGTGGTGCTGCCGAAGCAGTAATAATTTGGCACGTTTGTTGGTTGCGTTGGGCGTAGGAGGGTGTATGATACACATTTAACTCGTGCGATCCGACCCAAAAATCAATTAGGAATCATATCGGTCGCGAACGCCCGAACGTGTAAAAATATAGGGGCGAATTAGCCGAGTGCGTTAATGCGTCACCAAACCGGAGGTATCTTAAAAGTCCCATTCGTCCCACCGTTAGAAAAAAAACGCTTCCACGGTCCTACTTTAACGAACAGGTTCCTTCAAACCAAATCGGCCGACTGTGACAGACGCAGCCTCCGCCGCCTTACCGCACCGCCACCACGGTCCCCGCACCGCCACCTCAGTCACCGCCGCGTGTCCACATCGAGCCCTCTGGCCCGGAGGCGGCAGTGCCGTGTGCGCGGCCGCTCGCTTCACTGGTGCGTCGGAGGCGGAGGCTGCTGCGGTGGCAACCGGTGCCGCTCCCCGTGGGTGTTGCGGTGGCACGAGAGCGTGAAGCGGCGCGCGAATGCCTTGCCGCACACGTCGCACGAGTAGGGCTTCTCGCCCGTGTGGATACGCTTGTGCTGCGAGTAGGCGAAGGGGTGCGCGAACGAGCGCCCGCAGAACTCGCAGCGGTACGGCCGCTCGCCCGTGTGCGTGCGCATGTGCAGCCGCAGGTTGCGCGCGCGCCCGAAGCCCTTGCCGCACAGCGTACACACCAGGCTCGGCTCCCCGGCGACGCCCGAGCCGGCCGCGTCCCGGCAAGCCGTCGTCCCGCCGATCCCCCCGTCTACAACCGCCGCCGCCCTCTGCATCTGTCCACCGCAGGCCGCGTCCATTGCTGCCCCCGCCGCGTCGTAGCTCAGCCGGTAAGTGCCAGTGGCCGAGTCAAAACTCTTCAGCAAAGCCGGGCTTCTGGCGTCCGCTTGCTGTTGCTGGTTGTGCTGTTGCCGCCGCCGCCGTTGTGGTTGCTGCTGCTGCTGCTGTTGCTGCTGTTGATTATGTTGTTGTTGCTGATGATGCTGTTGTTGTTGCTGATGTTGCTGCTGCTGATGATGATGTTGTTGCTGCTGATGATGTTGGTCTTCGTGCGGGATTAGGCGGTGCGGGAAATAGTGGCGCGAGCGGCTGCTAAGGCCTCCATTAGAAGCGTCCGCGATCAAAGCTCCTTCGAACGACTGACAGGGAGCCCTGCTAGCGTTGTGTACCACTGCGCGGGATACATCGAACACACGCCTGTAGACGTTACTTGCACAAGAATAAAAGAATAAACAACAGCGTGCGTGCGCGTCTGCGATGTGCACGCTGACGTGCGAGTGACGCGGTAGCACAGTAACGCCACCGCACATTCTGCGCAGTCACAATCAAACTCTCGCCTGTGTTAAATACCCGCCAACTGATTACTAACTCAACAACAATAACAAACTTTGTCTATGTCACAAGTGTGGGTGAAATAAGTCAATCGGTCATTGATTTTATCTAAAAGGAAGATGCAATGCAAAAAAACAAAGAGCACTTGTAAATAAATATCTTCTCTGTGCGTCCCAGGCTATCCAACGCAAGATTTAAGCTTTGTTAATGAGAGGATGAACATCAGCATTAGTAATTGTGGGCACGCCAGTGACATCACTACAATGTCACGTCTGTACAGTATAATACACCGGCAATGAAGACATCACTTGGGTGTTATGACTACTTGAGCATGATTTTAATACCTTTTGGATAATCAATCGAGTGCTAAAGCCCTTCAGACAGCCTGGGACACACAGGTCAAGATGTGAGGCCGCAAGATACGTCTCATTTGGATGCGTGACAAAACCTAACGGCAATTAAATTCACAATAAGGAAATCCACCACAAGCGAGCTCTCATGATTTGTCGCTGCGCTGTTACCAAGAAATACGTGCGTCTGACATCACAGTGACATCACCGGAGCGCCATCGTGACACACTTAACTGTAATTGGTCAAGCGCACAATTTGACTGGTGAACCCATCGTTGTTTTGTTTTTTTAAAGAACCAGACGGAAGCTGCTGTATCTCCACATACCGACGCCGCTGTCACAATTAAAAAAAAGCCGAGCCCCGTTTTATTTTAGTTTTTGGTTGCGAGAGCTCGCCTCTTAAAGCGCCGCCGCCGGTCTCCGGGGCTCACCTGCATAATAGCGCTCGCTGGGCGTGTCGGGCGGGGCAAACGCCTTCCAGGCCCTGCTCACCGGCACCACCTCCTCCTCCTCCTCCTCCGCCGCCACCTCCGCCTCCAGCCCCGCGCTGTGATCGCTCCCGACGCGAGCCTTAGGCAGACCTGGTTGGTGAACCACGGGGAGAAGGGAGGCGAGGGAGGGGCGATGCAGGCTCTCGAGCAGAACTGCGAGCTACAGTTGCGCCTCGTTTACGCTCGGTATTATTTAGGAACGTTGTCGTGGTGGCAGAGTGATCGGCAACACCGTGCCGTGAACCGAGCGAACTCAGCACAATTACTAGCCAATGGAGGTCAGTACTGTCCCATTGCTTGTTTGAGCACGGTGACACTTTTGACTTTTGATGCGAGTGTTTATGAAATGTGAATATTGATCATAACAATCTCATTTTATTTATCCATGGCAGTAGAGTGGTGTTGCAGTGGTCCGTGCACTGCACCATGAACCAGAAAGGTAAGGTATGGTAAAAAAAACCACCCAGTACCAACACGGTGCGGGTTAGGGTTCACCCATTGACAAAAGGGCTCCGTGTGTGGAAGTCAAAGTGATTTCCTGCTCAAATGATCATTGAGGCATCACTCACCTCCTGTTTAAAGCCCTGCGGCAGTGGTGAAAATTCCACATTCCTATAGTGGGAGGGTGAGTCTATATCATAGGATAACCGTTGAATCCCGTACAAAGAGGTACTCTATTTTATCGACCCTGTAGAAATGCCAAGTCAACAGAGCCAAACATTACGATCTCATTTTGTGGTGTCTCTCACTGACGGCGTGGCGCACGGTGGATGCGGGGTGGGGGAAGGGGGCCGCCTCTCACCTCGGTACATCTCGTTCTTGACATCCCCAAGCACCGTATCCAGTTCGTCCGCATCCACCGCGTCCCGGGCGCCGGCGCCGGGCGACGGCGGGGCCGGCGGGGGCTCACCGGCCCCTCCCCGCGTCGCGTTCACAAAGTCTGCGGCACAGGCGTGCGTGCGCGCGCTTACTGGCGTGGCGAAGGACGTGATAGCTAGGCCCCACAGTGTTCATGGATGGCGCTCGCATGCAGCATTTGTGTCACTGCTCTGCTCTGTGAAGGTGTTGTAAATCTAAACCAGCGGTTCCCAAACCGTGACCAGCGAGCCGCTGGTAGTCTGCAATGTTATGGGAAGTGGTCTGCGGGAACTCTTGCAGATATATTTTCTTCTTTACAAAGTACCATGGTTTTATTATTACTGCACGGTGGTCCGCAAAAAACATGTTGAGCTGTTGTCAGTGGTCAGCGAGTCCATAAAGGTTAGGAAACGCTGATCTACATCATGAATTGAGACTTTGTATTAAGGCTTTCTTTCAATGATTTGCATCAAAGCAAAGAGGTGATGCAATACAATTACATCAGGAAGTAATACAATACAGTATCAAGTATTGTATCAAAGCTTTGCGTCAAGACCTTGTTTATGGAAATGTACCAAGCCCATGTATGACAACCGCACGAGGGTTACGTCAAGGCATCGCGTGAAGGTTTTGTACGGAGGCCATCAGGACTGGACGCACCTTCGGGAATGATCTCCGTCTTGACCTGGAGCCGCCCCCATGACCCGTGTGATCGCTGTTCTTTCTCCGCCTCGTGGAAATCCGGAGGCACATCCAGCTGAGACTCCACGGGCTCCGACCACGGCCCTTCGTGAAATGCAACACACGTGCATGATAACAACAATCATAATTTGTGTTTGAAATAGCGTCCTTCTCACACCAGGGTGTGGTAGAGCAATGTACACGTGATAAGCGACTTTAATCTCATCTCAAAACTTTCGGAGGGCACCCCCAGTAGCAGCTGCCCCTATATGTCACAAGGTAATTCAACACACGGCCTGCAAGCTGGCATCAGTCTAGAAACAGTGGGCGATGATTCCGATATGCAAACCAATTGAGCCTATTGCAGATCATGTTTAGTATTTGGAAAATTTGGACCATAATGCCGTAAAAACTTTTGCGAGCAATTTTAGGGGATCTTTAACGTCCCCTGTGTGCAGACGTCGTATATTTTTATAGGGTTAATACATCAACAGTAATAACCAGGATGGCCTGCTGTTTCTAAACCGAAAACTTATGCAACATGGTGAAGAGGCTACCACTGGGCCGTGTCATGTTCATTATCTGTAGCTGCCGTGGAGTAACGGTTAGCAAATTGGTCTTGAAATCTAGAGGTCGTTGGTTCAAGTCCATTGTCCAGAGGGGCGGGTGAAATGGTGAGTTTCTTAAATCGCCCCTCCTGTGTCCACCCAGCGGTAAAAACGGGTACGCCACGGTCAATCAGCAGGTTGCGTGTTGTGGGATAAAGTGTGGGTACGCCCATGTCTTCCCAACTCATCTGGTCAATGTGGAAGGATAGACACATTACCAGCGGCGGCATTAGCAAAAAAATTGCAGGGACGCACCTTTTACCTTTTGCAATTATCTACTACATAAGCGGCGAGTCAGTCTGTGTGTCCAGAGAACTCCAACCTAGAGCACTCCACTTCCGTGCAGTTTGCACAACTATGCACACTACGCTACGAACCCGGCGACTTGAGTCAATTCCTGGCCATAGGTAACGCCGGCGGCGAGCGACATTGTAACCGGTCGCGGGACCTCCGCTCTTCACCAAGCCGCACCGACCAGCACGGCGAAGTATAGTCGGACAACTATCAGGCAATGGGCAGTGGCGGTAGCGGCAGCGGTGCGTGGAGCCTCACCGGCCGAGGCTGGCGAGTGACGCTCCACCCACGCGTGCTCCACGCCCTGCTCCCACGTCTCGGCTGGATCCTCCTCCGCCAGGAATGCCGAGTCCTCCACGGGGGCTTCCTCCACCACGCCTGGGCAGACACAGACAAAAGGGGCGCCGCGGTGGCGGAATGTTAACTGCCTCGCTTGGTATGCAGGAAGTCGTGGGTTCGATCCCGACCATAACGCCTGCTATATATTTGGAGTTTGCGTGTCTCGCGCTCTCTCCCTGTGGTCATGTAGATCTTTCTCCAGGTCCTCCGGTTTTTCCCTCCACATTTAGAATCAACATGCGTTTAAGAGTATTTTTCTGCTATTAATTTATACACAAGCCATTTTTTTTATTTAAAGCTTTCGTGACTGCAGGGATTCATATTCTTGGTTCTTTCGGTAAAGGCACGTAGAAGGGAAACAATAAAATAATAAAAATACATTGTTTTATATTTTTATTATTTTATTGTTTCCTTCTACGTGACTTTACCGAAAGAACCAAGAATATAAGCCATTTTGTTGAGCTATCATTTGTGGCCAGGTTGTTTCTAAAAAAGAGCTATAAAGCTCAGTGTGCCTTACCTGGTAAATTAAAAAAAAGTTAAGTTTTAGTTTAAAGGCAGAGCGAGTTAAGCAGCAATCACTCATTGCTTCTGAGGCTAACAGGTAGGAAAACAACTAATACGCCTGTGATTATATGTATGTTGAGCTTCTTTCGCACCACATGTAGCCAACCGTGCCAATTTGATTCACAAAGTCTCTATCAAATGCCTTCATTTTGCACGTTTGCCTTGGTGTCATCTCATTTCTCTTTCAAGCCTGCAGCATGCTACCTCTCATTCCCAATGATTTGATAAAAAAAATCCCTCTTCTTATATATGCGTGGCGTCTTGAGATGGATCACATTTAAACACTTTATACACCGGAATTACATTGCACTGTGTCGTATCCTCTATGTATGTTGAACTTCTTTCGCACCGTACGTAGCCAACCATGCTAATCGGAGGTGCGTTGGGAAGGCCAAAAAACTAAACACAGTTAAGTTAATAGTAATAGGTTTTTACCCTTTTATCTGGCACCAAAACTGACACCTTCATGCAAGGGATCATGTTTGCAATAACCACAACATAAGCAGCCAAAATGCAAACAAAAAGAGACAACTATGATGATATGCACTGTCCCTGAAATTGATTGGTCCACACCCAAGACGGCTTTTCTTAGAGCCTAGTCTCCACTGGTGTTAGACCAGATGACGCCAAAAAGCCAAAAGGCATCATCTGGTCTAACACCAGTGGAGACTAGGCTCCAAGAAAAGCTGTCTCGGGTGTGGACCAATCAATTTCAAGGACAGTGCATATCATTATCAGAGTTGTCTCTTTTTGTTTGCATTTTGACTGCTTGTGTTGTGGTTATTGCAAACATGATCCCTTGTATAAAGGTGTCAGTTTTGGTGCCAGATAAAAGGGTAAAAACCTATTACTATATCTTGTTACTGGCAAAGGAGGTCTCATAACAGTTAAGTTTACTGACAAGGTGACTAACAATCAGATGCTCCCTCCGAATGCTCCCCCTTACAGGAGGAGTTGTTGGTGGAGCGCAGGGCTTCATCCGCCTCCGCCTGCTCGCCCGTGTACATCGTCGGCTCCAGGCAGCTGAAGCGGTCGGCCGACTGCAGCAGCTCGTGACTCAGGCTGTTGAGCGTGCCCACGATGGCCTCGAGCAGCGAGTTCATGAACGGGTGCACGGCCACCTCCATCACCGACTGCGCCAGCCTGGCCTTGCCCCGCTTGCCCGACGACACGGCCTTGAGGATGCGGCGCAGCACGGCGTAGAAGGCGAAGGGCAGCTTCTCGCGCGCGGCGCCAAACAGCTCGGCCATCACCTGCGTGTCCTCGGCGCACGCCAGCAGCTCCTCGTAGTCGCTGATGCCCAGCTCGCGCTCCATGGCCTCGGCGAACTTGAGCTTCATGCCCTGGGTGGCGAGCCACGTGGGGAAGTCCCCGCGTGGATCCGCTACGAGGGGACACGCCATTCCGCCCGCCAGCGAGGTGTGGGCTGCGACGGGTGGGGTCATAGTCACCATCATCATTGGCTTCATCATCGTTTATATTAAATGGATCACTGCCTTTATCATCATCATCATGCAATCTGTATTAAAGTTTCTATTAATTCTAAGGCGTTTCCCAGTTTGTTTTTACACCACTAAAAAGTGTGCACATGACGCAAATGTACCATATTTGTAAGATGAAATGGACACTCAACGACGTGAATATTTTATTTGTAAAGTGTTGCTTTTAGATGCTTTATGAATCCAGAACGTATCAGATCGCAATGTTTTGCGGAGACTCATTGTGGAGGTGGGTGGCGTTATTAATGCCCATCTGCTTTAGCGTCTGTGAGCAAATTGCCTGGGGGAATGCGCCCACCCACCCTCCCCCAACTCGTCAGATCTCGAAAGCCGAGCCTGGGCAGTGCCTGGATGCGTGAGCAGCAGAGCGACGTGCAGCACAACCCACTGTTGTGCCAAACCCATGTCCCTCTTCCGCCGCCTTCACGAACCCGCACAGATCAGCATGGTGAAGTACGGTCCAACAATCCCCAAGACCAACACGGCGTGCGCAGCAGCGGTCCGACACAACGGTTTACACAAAAGTGGTTGAAATCCAGCGAGCAATTTGGCCAGGAAGAATTGGCGACATTGTACAATTTTGTATGGCGGGAGCAAGTCTGTACATATGGTAACCGCTGCTGAAATGACCACCAAGCGGGTCATAATTTTATAGACCGCCCCACCACCACCCCCAAAAGGGCGGGATTGTAACTAACGGTTGTGAACAACCGGAGGCGTTTTTTAAATTATTGTTGCATATGTCAGTTCCTGGGTTTTAGTCAAACGAAAGTTCACAATGACCCAACGCACGGCTAGAATACGCCGAGCTGTAAACCCGGTCGCCTTCCCCGGGCCACGGCTAACATCAGTGGCGCGTTATAGATAAATACCGTCAAAATAAAGATCCCCGTATAGCTTGTAAAAGACTATTTGGGGCAAGTGCTGTTAGCGAGCAGTACCTATGAAGGCCGGCACGGCACAGGAGAGGGGGTGGGGTGGTCAGCACCACGCCCGGCCGCCTTTGTCTCCCAAGTGCCAATGTTTTTGTTTTACACACCGCAACCAAGGTAGTGAATTGAGGCTGAGTCAACCTAGGGGTGTCCCGGGACCGGTTCAGATAATCGTGGTCACTACTGGTGTTGGTCGTGAGGGGGAAGTCGAACTCGGGTCGCCGGGGTTCGCGCTAACCGTTACACGACCGCTCATCACTATACTGTATATACTGTACAAAGACAAAGACCTCCCCCCACCCCGTATAGCCTGAGCAGGCTGTAGGGGCAAGTGCTGTTAGCGAGCAGCAGCTATGAAGGTCGGCACGGCACACGAGGGGGTGGGTGGCCAGCACCACACCCGGCCGCTTTTGTCTCCCCAGCGGCGATGTTTTTTTTGTACACACCGCAACCAGCTACTCATTTTAGGCCGAGTCAACCTAGCGGAGGCGCAGGACCGGTTCGAATAATGGTCACTACTGGTGTTAGCCGTGAGGGGGGAAATCGGAACTCGGGTCGCCGGGGTTCGTAGCGTAGCGTGCTAACCGCCACACGACTGCTCCCCCACTATATATAGAGAGAGACTACATTGTACACGCACACACGCGCATCTGAACGAGTCCCGGGATCAACCCACCCATCCATCTACCAACCCGCGCCGACGAGCGTGGCGAAGTATGGTCAAGAGAGCGCTGATGCCACGGCTTGTGGTCGAAGCCTCCCCCTCAAGCCGGCAGCGGACTGACAACGTCGCCTGCCAAATTACCAATTGGCCACATTTTAATGGCAGCGCGCTTAAAAAGCAGGACTGCAATTTTTTTTCAAACAAAAATCGTCATCATCATCAGCAGCAGCATCAGCAGCGATCCACTTCAGGCGAGCTTTGCGAACGATTCGAACGGTTACCCAAGCAAGCGGCGGACGTCTTTGATTGCGCCAAAACAAATAAACACCCCTTCTTATTATTGTGTTCTTCTCATTAAAACTATTAAAGCTAAATGTTGTGTGTGTGTGTGCGATCGGGTCGGCGCGAACACTCACCATGGACGCTTCCCTGCCGTTGAACCCCCCGCTAGCCCTAGCAAGCCGAGCATTGATTGGACGAGCTGCGCCGTGCGCCTCAACAAGGCGCGCTCCGATTGGTGAGCGCGACCGGCGGAGCTTTTAAAGGGCCCCGGACTACTTTGGGCGCTGTGCGGGGGGGGGGGGCACGTCGAGATTCTTAGGGTTCCCTTTTCTGATTATTATTGTTCTTTATTTTGTTAAGTGCATAATAACCGCGGATTGTGGTTATGGTACACTTTGTTTGAACGTCTTCAGTTAGCTTTATGTTTCGCCTTATCTGTGTTCTCTTTGAGTAAGAGTGGCCAGGAATAATTAGTGGCTTGGCCCAACATTTATCATTTGCACTGCACTCAATCAACAATGTATGGGTTTCAATTTTTTTAAGTCGAATAAAAAGCTAAAACATAAAAATAAATATATGAGAGAAATATTTATCCTAATCATTTATTGGTCCTAATAGCGGTCATTATACATCTTAGACATATAAAATGTGTAACATAATTGGTGCTGTTCTTTGTATGGAATTCATATTCTTTGGGTATTTCGTTAAAGCCACGTAAGAATTGCTTTTTGTAAGTTTTGCTCTTTCACAAATGTCACTCAGATGGTGCCATTAAAGCCGCGTCATTAAACAAAGCGTCCATTCGTATCTCAGCGGTGCGATCCTCTGAAATCCCTGCCACAATTGGGATATTTGGCCAATGCTATTCTTCTTTCGTATGGATTAATAGCAGCATATTCTTTGGTTCTTTCGGTAAAGTCATCACGTAGGTAGAAAAAAATAATAGATCACGACGTTTCGATCGCAACACAAGCGATCGTCATCAGGTGAGAGAAACTGCTGAGCCTGTTTCAGCAGTTTCCCTGCTGTGATTGTCTCACCTGATGACGGTCGCTTGTGTTGCGATCGAAACGTCGTAGTCTATTATTTTTTCTACCTACGTGATGACTTTACCGATAGAACCAAAGAGTGTGGATTCCTGCAGTCACGAAAGCTTCAAATCCAGATTAATAGCAGCAGATTAAATAAGTTAATTTAGATTTGTTGTCAACTCAACTGTCTGTTCAGAAGCAGAGTGGATCTCGTCCGTTCCACAATTTAAAGGAGCAAAGACAACAGCGGCGGAGTGTTTACGATGAGGGTCGACGGTTTAGCGATTCGTGGCCGCACCACTCGCAGGCCGCCGAATCTTCGATGCCCAATTTGTGCGCTACGTGGCCGCATCGGCCATGCCCGGTCCTGATTCGGTTGATGGTCGACCGTTCGCTGCGTGTAAGGTTGAAACCGGGAGGTTCCACGGTAGGGTCGCTATACGAGATGTTTCTCTTTCGCGTCGACCACAGTCCAGACTTGCTACCATCTCCCGCCTTCATTTGTATTTGTGGCATGGAGTGAGGCTGCTGCGATCCAGAAGGCGTGCCGTGATTTTAGGTGAACAGGCGGCGCTGGGTTGATGTCCCGATAGGCTTCTGACTTTGTGCGAGAGAAAACCGAAGAACCCGTAGAAAATCTACCATGATATGAGAGCATAACACTAAAATGTCCGTTTCACAGACAGGTTCATGTACCACTTTCTGTGCTGCCATCAGCCTGACCACCTCGCAGCCAAGAGGGCTTGGAAGATTCACAAACCTCTGTATGATCTTGACTTAAAACTTGTGACTGCAGGAATTAATATTCTTTGGTTATTTCGTTAGTCACGCAGATAGAAAATAAAATTAATAAAAAAAACATTTTTATTAACTTTCTTTTCTACCTCTGTATGATCCACAAACCTTTGGCTCCAAAGCACTGCATCACAGACATTTTGTTGACTTGAGCTGTTAGAATTTGTTCCAATAAATACAAGCCACCAAATATCTGGACGGCTCAACTGGGCCACAGGGGTGAGCTTTTGCAGCCCCCTCCTTTCTGCCTTGCCCACTCGCTCTGATATTGATCCTGCCTACTCCGCATCCAACCACCGCCCAGTGCTCAGCCCCACATTGACCCCCGCCATCATCCTGAGTCGGGCATGCGGCCAGAACATTTACACCTGGGACAAATTCCCATCTTTAGCAAATGCTTCGGGGTAAGGGGAGGGCACACCGACAGAGCCTTTCTGAAACCACCGGGACTGTCCCGGCCAAAACAGGATGTATGGTTGCTTGACAACATATCAATTGGTCAGTGGCCTTTATTCAGAACCGTTGTGAAAGCAGTCTCTTGGAAGGGAGACCCTGGAGTATACTTGCAAGAGAAGAGCTTGAGCGTATTTGCTGTGGCTACAAATAGGGAACATAGAGAAGAAACAGTGAAGCCAAACAGCTCACGATACCCCGGTTCGTTGAATGCCACTCAAGTCGAAACGGCACTAAGGGCTTACACGTGGTGTAAATGGGGACATTGGCGTCCAAATGTAGTCCTGCGCCCCAATCTGAAAGTGAAAGCATTTACAGATGTATTGGCTGTCTGCGCACACGTGTGGCCGATTAAACCGAGACTCCAGCAGACTAGCCTTGGGAGCAAGTCCTTTAAATAAAAACCTCATTGGGAAGTGCTGCTCACACAGATCAAAAACAATGACGTAGCATGGTTGGCAATGGGGCCCTCTGTACAACTTGCCCTCTTTCTAGCCCTGTGCCTAGGCCCCTCCAGCTCATGGACCCTGATTGCATGTGCACCACTTGCATACTCAATGTACGTATGTTGTACGAACGTAGCCAACAGTGCTAATCGGAGGTGCGAGAAGTAGCAATACCACGGGCCAACAGCCTTCTCATCGGGCAGTGCGGGCAGAGCAGGAATGAGTACCATCTGAGGTGAAAAATCCTATGATCAAATCACCTGGTTTACAAAGTGAAGGGAGGCACTTTCCCCACCCACTCCACCACTGAGAATAATGTATGTGTTAAACTTCTTTTGCACCGTACGTAGCCAACTATGGTAATCGGAGGTGCGGGGGAAGGGCATCACACTAAACACAAAAGGCAGGTCTAAAGAAATACATTATCAATCTATAATTAAAAGTGCACCGCACCAATGGCTTCCGATTATCGGAAGAGCATTCCAGGTCGCAGACGCGCATCTGAAAGCACGCGATGCAGTGGCCGTCTTTGTTCAATGGCTAGCCAAAATGTTGGCCATGTGACAGGTAACTGATTCTCTGAGCTGGCATTTAGCAAAATTAAGTGGAAAATATAACGTAATGGTTTCCCCGCTTAATGCGATAAGATGCGTGCCAAAATAGGCAGTGCACGAAGTGAAACCGCACAAGATGCCTGCAGAGGAGCCCATACAGTACACAAAATGTTGTCCCACGTCCAACCGCAGTCACATGAGTGAATTCAAACCGAAAACAATACTATACTCTTTGGTTCTATTCGGTAAAGTCACGTAGGTCCCTTCACCTGATGAAGGCCACTTGTGTTGTGGCCGAAACGTCGTGATTTTTTAAAATTGTTTTATTTTATTTTTTACCTACGTGACTTTACCGAATAGAACCAAAGAGTATGGATCCTTGCAGTCACGAAAGCTTCAAATCTAGAATTGAAAACAATTCTGTTCATGCATAGATAATTTTGGGTAGAAATAAGTTTAACTGCACGTACGCGAAATGGCACAAACCGAACCTGCGTAAAAGGGAGGTGAAACCTGCATTGCGATTGCTTCTTTTGTGCAGTCATTGATTATCAGGCTGAAATAAAAAAAACGGAGATCAACTCAACCATAAAACATGCTTTAATCATTGGGCGGCAGTTTCCGGATTGGAACCCAGGACCGAGGTTGTACCAGCTCAGCGCTCTGACCTCCGCGCTACCCGGCCACTGAACGAAAGTTGTTTTATTGAATTTGTCTAAATTACACGTAGGGACAATCTTGCATGTGACCCGTGCCCACTGTGCCTCGGTTCTTCGTGGCCGTGATCGTCCTCTTGGGCACAGTGGGGGTGGTCAACAAAAAGTAACAAAATAAAAACCAATAGTTCTCCAGACGTGATCTTCTTGCTCTCCATGCTTGGACACAAGGAATCCAGGCAGATACCTTTCACACACTGTGGGTTTATTGAACCAGCCTCTCCAGCAAACGAGTATATTGGACCATCTTAAACGACCAAATGTGCTGTCAACTTCACGCCCCACTGATGAAAACAACTGCGCAACGCAGAGCCGATTCTCAAATCTATAACTACATGCGAATCTGTACGAAGCTGCTGAGCGGCCATTTGGAGCCCTGCTTAGAGCATCGGCGACAACGTTCCCCTTCCCCGGTATGTGCTTGATATCAAAAGCATATAGGGCCAACTTGGTAACCCAACGTTGTTCACAAGCATCCAACTTTGGCTTTGTCATGATATGCGTCAGCAGATTGTTGCCAGTGAAAACGGTGAAAGTGTCCCCTCAGCCAGTGACTACATTTCTCACAGACACTGCACTTGAACGCAAGGAATTCCAGTCAATGCGCAGGGTATCTATTCTGTGCCCATGTCAGTGCTTTGCTGGCAAAGGTCACTGGTCGCGCCTGATCTCCGCCTTCTGGCCGGATTATCAGTCATACACCCTGTAAAGGTAATGGGGGCAGGCTGTCCCTGATCTGCAACACCGGTAAGATGTAAACGATTAGCACCATCCTGTCAGAAGCTACCTTCTAGATGCATTGTGACCTCTTGGCCAATCTGCAGTGCCATCTGAGTGACCAAATCACTTACGACATCTCTCTGCTCCTGAGACTTTTGGCTTTTCCCCTGCCTGTCCCATTGCAGTACTGCAGGCGCCTGGACCCTCTAATTTATCCAATTCACCTTGCGTGGAATCAACACATCGCAAAGTGGCTGTGCCCCGTCCAAAACTCACTCTGCGACTCCCATATCCCGAATCCGTTGTTAAATGCTCATCGACATATTTTCCCAATTTGCTGTTGTCCATCTTCCGACAAGGCGTTTATCACCAACACGAACAGGAAAGCCCGACAAACAATGTCAACATGACGACCGAATATGAGAAAAAAATGTCAAAAAAATTCTGAGCAACGTGAATATTTGAACTGTCACAGCGCAGTAATCACGCAATGCAATATATGTGGTGGGTTAAATGCAGGCGCACACTGGACTTTGGAGGCAACACTATTTAGCTAACACAACAGGTAACACTTAACATAACGACTTAAGGTGGTAGCCACCGTTCACAACTTAGCTAACCCACGGGGGTACTACATCACTGGACCAGGACAGCCCAACACGCTGCTTGGTCCACTAGCGGATACCGGAGAGCTTCATCCCAGAGATGACCCAGCAGCATAGCAGGACAGCACAGAACAGCCCAGCTCTCCATCCACGCCCCGCTTATAACCACTCCGGCGTGGGCGGCTCCGCCCCAAGCCACGCCCCCCTTCCCGATCCTTTGGGAAGGCCCAAGCCCCCAACCACGTGACCCCCTTGGGGCCCCTGCCCCCCCTTTATCCAGTCATGTGTCCTGTTGGGTTCACGCAGAGTGTCACGGCCTGACACGACCTCCGTGACACCCACCTACAGCCCCCATACCGAGCCAACACAGTAGTGTCGTTCTACTACACGACACACGTATCGCAATCCGAGTCACAGCACCATTGTCCATACGGTATGCACGAGAAGCGGTATGACCCAGCACAAGAGGACACAGGCGAAAAACTCTTCAAGTGCAATGTGTGTGGGAAGGCATTTTCACGTTCATTGCATCTTAAAAATCAACAAAAATACACACAGGTGAGAAGCCCTACAAGTACAGTTTGTGGAAAGGCGTATACAGAGATAGGAACTCTTCGCACGCACCAGAGAACACACTCAGGTGAGAAACCCTTCAAGCACACTATGTATGGGGCCCAAGCAGAGGTGCACGAAGCAGCAGCCAATCTGGATAAGGAAGAGAATTGGAGTGAGTTTGACACTCAGATGCCTGTCAAGGACCGTGATCAACTTACCAGAAAAAATATTTTGGACTGGTCTGAACAATTCACCAATGCTCCTCCACCAAATGATACTGAACAAAGGGTGGACGTTGAGGCATCGCCATCTCCATACCGAGTGAACATGAATGCTGCCTACGGGAATGGTGGAAATGCATATCCTACCCTGGCAGTTAGTCGGCGACTCAGCGTCGCACACGTGGGGTCAGACATGGATGCACCAAGTCAGACCCACATTCCAGACAGTCACATAAAGGGCTCAAACCAACATGATCGAAACCCTTTGGGCTCACAATCCAACGCCATCGCGAATGACGACATGCAAGGCAATGCAGCCAACAATGGCACCTCACAAGCGCCAGTATGGACACACCCTGGATCAGCAGGCTTAGGGGAACTTTGCTAGGTACTTGGCTCACCGCGAACTAATCAACACAGGACTTGTTAAGTTTGATGACCACTCTGATAACTATCGAGCCTGGAGATCTACCTTCAGGAATGTAATCATAAATGCAGACATATCTGCAAGTGAAGAACTCGACCTGTTGGTGAAATGGTTAGGAAACGAATCTGCAGAGTACGCAAAGAGGATCCGGTCGGCAAACATAGACGACCCTGCCTCAAGCCTGCATGCGGTGCGGGAGAGGCTCGAGGAGTGCTATGGTAGCCCAGAAACCATTGAGAAGGCTCTCTTCAAGAAGTTGCAGAACTTTCCAAAAATCTCTGGTCGAGACAATAAAAGGTTATGAGAGCTTGGAGATCTTTTGATGGAGCTTGAATCAGCCCAGGCTGACCCCTACTAACCAGGTCTCATTTTCTTGAATACCTATCATGGCGTGAACCCCATCGTAGACACAGGCGAAAAACTCAAGTGCAATGTGTGTGGGAAGGCATTTTTACGTTCATTGCATCTTAAAAATCAACAAAAAATACACACAGGTGAGAACCCCTACAAGTACAGTTTGTGGAAAGGCATATACAGAGAGAGGAACTCTTCACACGCACCAGAGAACACACACAGGCAAGAATATCTTCTAGTGCAGTGTGTGGGATAGCATTTTCACGTTCATTGCATCTTAAAAATCACGAGAGAACACACAGAGGTGAGACCTTCAAGTGCACGGTGAGTGGGAAGGCGTTTACACAGCTAGGAAATCTTCGTACTCACCAGAGAACACACTCAGGTGAGAAACCCTTCAAGCACACTATGTATGGGAAGGCTTTTAAATGATCACAAGTATGAGATAGGCATGAGCAGATCCACAAGGGAGAAAACCCCAGCTTCTCAATGTGGCCAGAAGTTAGCTTGGAACATGAAGACATGAACTTGGTACGTGAAGAAGTGAATTGGAACATGAAGACATGAGCTTGGAACATGAAGTAGTTGTGGTGCCACGGCCTCGAAGCAACCTGGCAAGAGCCACGAATCCCCCCTGGCCCCCACACTGAGCACACACACGTAGTGTCCTGGCGGCGGATTGCCTGGCACAACGGGTTTTAATCCAAAGGGTCCCTAGGAGGAAAGTCCCACGGTTTCCCGGTGACAGTAGATTGGCCGACCCTCGCAGGACAGGTCACATTGCGGTGCCCCTGAGTTGGTTTAATATTGTATGGGTGCAAAAAGGTTCACCAGGCCAGCCGCAATGAGTCATTCACGACATCGGGAGGGGCTGGGGTGGAATATTAAGCGAGAAGGGCAGACCATGAGGTCAGGGGATTGCAGCGCCACGACCTCCCCCGACCTCCATACCGAATACACTTGCAAGGTGTGTATTCGCCAGTCGAGCGTCATTCTGGATTAACAAGGGTGAGTAATAAATTAATGAGTACGGACGGACAGGCAATGGGTCGCAGAAGCACCATGTAAGGACAAAAAAAAACGGGCGGTAATCACAGGCAGACGCACGATTGGCCGCGCGGTACAACGCAACCCCAGGATTTTGAAGTCAGGAGGATAAAAGGGGAGCCTGGTGTTCGTTCAAATCAGAACTTTCTTCAACCTCTTGGCCGCCAAGACCCACTCCCTGCCGTCCTGCCTTCTCGAGCCGCTCGCAGCATCCGTGTGACGTCAGCGAGTGCCACTACGAGGCAGTGGTAGGCAAGGTTTTTTCGTCCTCTTCCCTCCGACTATCACAGCGTCCGTGCGATGCCTCCGGGTAGTGCAGGGTTTGCGCCGAGAATAAAAGTTAGTGCAGAGCATAGGCGTGGTGTCTCTGATCTCTGTGTGGAGTAGGCCTCGGCAAGGTTAGGTGATTTACCCTTTTTACCGGGTAAAAGGTAAAGGTGTCGACATCTCAAGGGGTAAGGTAAAGGGTAGGGTAAAGGTAGCGCAGAAGAATAACCCGGTAGGGTAAAGGTAGCGTGAAATATTACCCGGTAAATACCTTGTTTCCCGCTCGCTAAAACCTCCGTGGCGCATCCATTATTGCGCCACCCCCCCCACCAACTACAAAAGTCTATTTGTATACTATTTGCATTGTGTACAGTCTGGAAGCTGCCCACATGCCAAATTTCAAGTTTGTATGTTGGGAAGTATGCTAAACATTTCTAACAGACACCAATTCACAAATTTCCCTTTTACATATATATAGATGAATAAAGCGCTCTACCTAGCATTTACCTGTTACGATTGCTGCGGTGTGCACGGGCGCGCATTTAGAGATAATCGGCCGCAGGTACAAGCGCGTTCGTACCCCCCCCCCCCCCTGCGTCAGCGACAGCTGTGGTGTGCACGGGTGCGTGGTTTAACTCCGTGGCTACGAGCCAGCAGCACGAGTATGTCCCTCAGAGAGGGCCCTAGCGCGGGGGGCCCGATCACTCGGGTCTGCGGGGGGCCCGGCGGGAGCCGACCGACAAGGTGGAGGGGGCGGTACGGGCGGAAGTCGCGGCCCACCTGCCTAGTGAGGGCGGTGGGGTGGACGTCGGGCCCCACAAAGTGAATTGAGAACCGTAAGACGAAGATAATCCGAGTCACGGCACCAGCGTGACCCGTGCCACACCTGTGCCTCAGTTCTTCCTGGCCGTGATCGTCCTCTTTGGTACAGCGTGGGTTGGTCAACAGTAAGTAACAAAATAAAAACCAATAGTTCTGCAGGCATTATGTTCTTGCTCTCCATGCATGGGACACCATGAATCCAGGAGACTCGGTTCACACGGTGGGTATATTGAACCAGCCTCTCCAGCGCATGAGCATGTCGGACCGTCTGCAACGAGATAAATGTGCTGTCAACTTCACGCCTCACTGATGAAAATCCTTGCGCCACGCCGAGACGATTCTTAAATCCACATCGTCGCCAATGCGAATTTGTAATTTTTTTTTTATCTCACAAGCTGCCGAGCGGCCATTTTGAGCCCTAAGCTTTACCACTTAATAGAATTAAACGATACGAACTTAAAGCAACTCATCACAAAATAACTATTTTTGTTTTATCACCAGTATTCCATTCATCCATTGATTGTTATAACAGAAGACTCCCCATGTGCACTCAAACACGCTACAAATACGAGTACAATTAATTATATGTCTTACACGAGTAACGTCCATACTCTTTGGTTCTATTCGGTAAAGTCACGTAGGTAAAAAATAAAATAACAAAAATCACGATGTTTCGGCCACAACACAAGTGGCCTTCATCAGGTGAAGGGACCGTGCTGTCATGAGGACAGCGTTGGAGTGAAAACAGCCAAGCCCAGGTCGCGTCCTTTAAGCTGTGTGGGAGGAAGCAAAAACGCTTTGACAAAGGAATTAGCGTAAAAATGAGCATGATGTATGTAGGAAGTACATGATGGACCATGATGGACCAGGCGCGGGTGGGGACCATCATGGTCCATGTACCTCCGAAGTACATCATGCTCATTTTTATGCTAATTCCTTTGTCAAAGCGTTTTTGCTTTGACAAAGGAATTACTTAACACCAAAATTAACCTTTTAAAACTCTCACAACCAAATTTAATGTCATGAGGAAAATAATAAAGTACTATTTTTTTTAGTTATTGCGTACGGAAGTATGTTCTTATTCTTGCGTGTGGAAGTAATGGTGGGGAACTAAATGCCAATGTCGAGGTCTGCATTCGGGGTTGAGTTTGTGTAGTTTTTGCTATATTGTACAGCAGAGTACATCCGTTGAAGGGGTGCACACTAAAGTGGTTTACCCTGGTCCAAAGTTTGTGATTGCATGATTCACAATTGCACTGCGACTCGTCTGTAACTGTATCTGTGTGCCTCCACGCATCTCTATGAGTTTATGCATCTGTGTGCATCTATGCGTCTCTGTGTCGTGAAGCCAGCCACCACCCGACACATACAAATTAAAGGTGTGTCACGTCAACAGAACGTGGCCATTTCGTTACTAGTACAGCAGGGGTCGGGAACCTTTTTGACTAAGAGAGCCATGAAAGCAAAAAATTTGGAAATTTATTTCAGTGAGAGCCATATAATATATTTTAAAAGTGAATTCAACTAAATGTCAGTATAATAAGCCTCTGAATTTATTCTTTTAAATAATGTTGTTATAACACTCACCATTAATGCGACTTCTGGTGCTGCATGGATTTGCTGATGTCTTTGTAGTCGGGTTGGTACTTGGTGAGGTTAAGCTTCATGCAAGCGTTGAGGCTTTCATCCGTTAAACGTGATCGTAGGTTGGACTTGATGTTTTTAAGATGTGAGAATGACTGCTCACATGCATACGTAGATCCAAACATGGTCAATACAGCAATACTCACACGCTGCAATGTGTGGTATGTGACAGGAAGCGCGTTCCAAGTTTTGAGAATCAGCTGGTCTTCGGGTTGGAGTTTTTTCATTTCTGTCCACATGTGCTTGCTCGCCAACTCCGCTTTCTGTCGTGTGATTCTTTCCAAATCTTCATTCAGTGACTTGAACTTATTCACCCACATGTCTGAGGCCTTCAGGTCAGCCACTTCTGCTTCAAAATCTCTGACGGAGATACCAGGGATGTAATTCAGGTCGGCTGTGTTCAGTGAACACTCGTTTGGATGGGTGATGAACTTAAAAAGACGAGTGTGCTCACGAAATTCTCCAAAGCGTGCTTTGAAGGACTGTAGGAGACTGGATGTGCAGCCAGCTAGCTGGTGGAGATCAAGGTTTTGAATGGGCTCACTTGCTGTGCATGCATCTTTAAATTGGCTCAGTTTTTCAAAATGTAGTAAATGACCTGTTTCAAGATCCGTGATGAAAAGCTCCAGCTTGTTTTCAAAAGCAAATACAGCTTGTTGAAGGGATAACACTGTATTTCCAATGCCTTGCATTTTCACGTTGAGCTGGTTCAGATGTTCAGTCAGATCTACGAGATAGTAAAACTTGAGGAGCCACTCGGTGTCGGCTAGCTCAGGATGCCCGACGCCTTTCATTTCAAGGAAAGTCCGGATTTCGTTCAGGCAAGCCGCAAAACGGCTAAGCACCTTCCCTCTTGACAACCAACGCACATTGCTGTGCAAAAGCAGACCAGGATAGTTATTTACAACTTCATCCAGCAGTGTTTTAAACTGGCGATCATTTAAGGCTCGGGCAACAATAAAGTTGATCACACGAATGACCAGCGACATCACTTCGCCAAACTGCCTGTCACACATCTGAGCACAAAGTGCCTCCTGGTGTATAATGCAATGGAAACTTAGGATGGGTCTATTTTCATGTTCACGGAGAAGCGCCACAAATGCTTTGTTTTTCCCCACCATACACGGAGCACCATCAGTACACACTGAGAGAAGTTTATCCATAGGTAGACTTTTTTCTTGAGCAAACTCCATGAAAGACTTGAATAAATCCTCACCTCTTGTGGACCCTTTTAATGGCAGAACAGCAAGACTTTCTTCGCGCAGTGTGTCACCAACAGCATATCTTGCAATCACGCTGAACTGCGACAAATGGCTCACGTCTGTTGACTCATCCAAAGCCAGAGAAAAGAACGGCGCTGCATTTATGTCCTTCACTTGCGTTTCCTCCACTTTGTTTGCCATCACGATGGTACGATCATGAACAGTTCTTGCCGACAGAGGCATGTCTTGTATCCGTTTGATTATCTTGTCTTTGTTCGGAAGATCATCAAAAAGTTCATTGGCTACATCCAGCATGAACGTTTTAGCATACTCGCCATCTGTGAATGGTTTTCCGTTCCTCACTATTGCTAAAGAACCAGCAAAGCTAGCCGAATTATAGTCACCTTGCCGGGTCCATACGCGGAGTTGCTGCTGGCTAGCTTGCACCCTGCTCAGCTCTTGGCACGCTTTCTTTCTGCTGTCTCCCGCAGGGTATTTTGATGCAAAGGTAGCGTGGCGCGTGTCGAAGTGCCGCTTTACATTCGACCGTTTCAACGATGTAATTTTGTCATTGCAAATTAGACACACCGCAGAACCCGCTCTCTCCACAAAGGCGAATTCTTCGGTCCATTCGTCCTGAAATGTACGATACTCGTCGTCTTTTTTTCTTTTCGCCATCTTCTTCGTCGAAGGGTTAGCTTTGAGCTAATGACCGAGCAGACGCAGTCTCAGACTGATTCAAAAGGGGGCGTTTACCTGTTTTACCCAGCAACGGCAAACGTAGGCCAGTATCATCCAATTAAAATAATGGACAATTGCTCCTGCAGCCCTGAACAGGACATGCGCAGTGAAAAATCGATGGATGGATTAAAACAAGTGAGAATATTTTGTTTTATCTGCGAGCCATATGCAATCATCAAAAGAGCCACATCTGGCTCGCGAGCCATAGGTTCCCGACCCCTGTAGTACAGTGTTGGGGAGCAAATCCACAACATTTACAATCAGAGTCCGACGTTTCGCCAGTAATTACAACGAGCTTCATCAGGCAAGTTGTTGAACGACTTGCAGCTCCGACAACAAGCGGTGTAGCGCTGTGCTCGCAACGAATCGGCACGTTCTGTTTACGTGACAAACCCCCTTGCTGACCGGCTGTGTCGGCTGGTGGTGGATTTATCGACACGTGTGTGTATATGTACGCGGTCTAATTAAACAAAAAAAAACATATATCACGTATGACATTGGTCGCGAAGGCCCTACTTACGACTACGACTACTCTCTGTGTGTTAAACTTTAACATCGTCGGCACCGCTTCACCGCTTCACCCCCTCCCCCACAACGCCCCCCCCCATCCACTTCACTTCCGGGCGGCGGAGCGTTTCCGCGCCCAAGCCCCCCGTGATTGGTCCCCTGGAATCCGTGCCGCCCACGTGACGAGGCTCGGCTTCCGGCGACTGTGTGCGTTTGGGGGCACCACGTGCGGTTCGGAGGCCGGGTTCCCGTTCGGTACGAGACGCTTCTTACTCCTACACACACACACAACACCCCACACTGTGTTGTGTGTTTTATGTGTGTTGTGTGTGTGGGGTGTTGTGTGTGTGGGGTGTTGTGTGTGTGTGGGGTGTTTTGTGTGTGGGGTGTTGTGTGTGTGGGGTGTTGTGTGTGTGGTGTGTTTAGTGTGGGGTGTTATGTGTGTAGTGTGTTTGTTTTATGTGTGGTGTGTTATCTATAGTGTGTGGTGTGTCCTGGGCCTCCCCTAGGTAGACTCAAATGAGTACCTAGGCGCGTTGTGTAAACATCGCCACTGGGGAGACAAAGGCGGCCGGGCGTGGTGCTGGCCACCCACCCCCTCGTGTGCCGTGCCGACCTTTATAGGAGCTCGCTAACAGCACTTGCCCCCTCCCCCACTCCCCCAACAGTCTGCTGAGGCTACACGGGGGATCTTTGGTGTGTCGCGAACAAATAATAATAAAATAAACCCCTCGCGAAAGACGAACTAAATAAACAATTAAAGCCGCCCACACATGCGCACAGGGGCGCGGACAAAGCGCTCCCAATTGAACTGTTGAACACTAAACCCAGGGGCAGGATTTGAACGTGGTGGGTGGTGGTGGGTGGTGGTGCTGGTTGGTTGGTGGTGGTCGAGCCCCCCTAACGCGAATAGTAACCCCGCGGTTTCTGTTAACGCTCGCTTGTTACCCCCCCCCCCCGCTCCCTCCTACTACTACTACACCACGACACACGCTCTCTCAGGAGCGGATAGAACGAACGGGCCATGGTAACGTCTAAAGTTACTCGCTCCGCGTGAATAATTCGCAAAGGCGGGCTGGTGGGGGGGGGGTTTGCTGTGAGGCAGGTGAGGGCGACAAAAGGAAGGCAGTAGGAGCGGCAGCAGAGCGGTCGTGGGTTTTTTTTTCGTGAGTGGGTGGTGGAGTTGGGTTCGTGAAGCTGTGGTGGCCGTGTTTGTTGTTGTTGGGGGTGGTGGTGGTGGTGGACAGGCGGCCGTGAGGCGGCCGTGAGGCCAGGCCCCAGTGTGCGAGGGAGCCCGTGGGCCAAGCCCCCAAAAGGTAACCAAAACCCCGCGTCGTCGTCGTCGTCGTGGTCGTCCCCCTGAATGGCGCCCACGGGGTTTTGAATGTTCGTTCAGTTTTGAACTGAAGACGTCGTTGCATTGTTGTTACGTTTACAAGTGTGCGGACACACGTACACACGCGCGTCTTGTCTCGTGCGTGGTGGTGTTTGGGCTGCTGGTGGTGGCGGTGGTGGTGTTTGGGTTGTTGTTGGTTGTGGTGGTGGTGTTTGGGTTGTTGTTGTTGGTTGTGGTGGTGGTGTTTGGGTTGTTGTTGTTGGTTGTGGTGGTGGTGTTTGGGTTGTTGTTGTTGGTGGTGGTGGCGTGACCGCCTGTGATCAATCCGCGCCGGCTTGCGACAATCTTCGGCAAGCTAAACCCGGGTGTTGGTGGTTGTTGTTGTTGTTGTTCCTTTGTGGTGTCTAGTTTTGTTTGAATGGGCTGCCACTACACACAACGGGGTGGGTGGGGGTGTTATAGGCTGTGCTGCTGAGGGCCGACGTAGTGCACATTTAAAAAAATACGACGTACTGCACTTCTATGCTGCTGTTGTATTGCACTGTTCTATGCTGCTTTTGTACTGCACTGTGCTATGCTGCTGCTGTTGTACTGCACTGTGCTATGCTGCTGCCCAAGTCATCTATGCTTGCCCGCCTTCACCAACCCGAACTGACCAACAGTGGTGAAGTATGGTCACAGCCCAATAACCTCCTCGACGCACGTTGGCGTGGAGTGGCCCTCGTCCAGCAGTGGATCGACAACAGCGAACGTGCACGCGCGTACCGTGAAAGTAACTTTGGTTTGGCTTATCCATAACTTGTCAACCCATACGGTGTACCCACCCGTATTCTTGTACAGGGAAATTGAGTACTCGGGTCCATACGGCGTTAACAGCCGTTTCAATAACGGGCAACGGCAAATTGTGTCTGTCTGTGTTTCTCCCTCGTGATGGAGACTTTGTAGGATGAACGTTGAGATTTATAATGGGCACGGGGTGAGCAATAAGGTGGTCTGAATTGGTCTGTAATCAGGTAGGGCACTGACAAGGGTTTGAGAGGTATGTATATTGTGAATAACCGACAGACGAGAACTCTTGACCGTGGCCACAATATCCTCCCTCGGCAAACGTGGGTTACGCGAAACACAGAATGTTGTCCACTGGTCCTATTCTTCCTGTTATCCGCGATTGACCGTGACTTTGTCGAATTTGCGGGGATGGCATATCCTCGATCTAGCATCCGCGATGGTTTTGGCCACATATGAAATCAATTTTTCCGCAGGGTTATCTGAGAATTGTTATCCCCGACCGCGGATTAAAGAGGGGGGTGGGGGGTAAAATCTGTGATAACCCCGCGGATTAGAGGAGTTCCCCTTCGACTGGTAAACATTGTCGCGGGGCACGTTTTTTTGACTGGTGTTGATGTTTGGTGGTTCGTGGTTTAATATCGAGGGCTATTCATATATAACCAAGCAGTCATTGTCTCGAACCGCTGTTAATTCTTAGGCGCTGTTTAAGACGATCTGTTTGTGATGATAACAGTGATTTCGAGCGATTTGTCAGAATCGGAATATTTATTTACAGAATCCGATGAGCTGTAATGCTCTCTTTCATAGATGTCCAGTCGGGGCAGGTAAGAACCTTACTACAACAATTATAAAACAAATTCGAGACTAAGGGTCTCCGTAATGCTCAAGCAGTGTATTAGTCATGGTCCTTCTTTGACCATACTTCACCACGCTGGTCAGTGCGGGTTGGTTAAAGGCGGTTTGGGGGGTGGGGGGGTAGAGCCACGACCGGTTTAGACATCACTCGCCACTGATGTTAGCCGTGGCTGGGAATAGAACCTAGCCCCTCCGGGCTCATAACGCATTGCGCTAACCATTGCGCCACCGTCCACACCCGCTTTGTCGCTTGAGTTGAGTATATTAATGATCTCAGGTAGTGGATCATTAGCAGGTATGGGTTGAGTCTGTAATGCAAAATCTTAAACTTTGAAGCGCTATATGTTTTTTAATGCCTAATCCTAGAGTGGTACAGATGGCTGAGAGTGCTGTCCTCGCAAAATCGTGGCGATAAAAGTTTATCCGAGGCACTACTGCTGTACCAGACCCCAACCCTTACGCCTAATCCCTAACATTTTCCCTAACCCCTAACATTTTCCCTAACCCCAATCCTCAACCCTAACCATAATCCTAAACTCTAAACCTCTCGCCAACCCCTAACTCCTAATCCTAGACCCCAAACACCCTATCTCTCAACCCTATCATTAACCCCTGACCAAAAACCTGAACTCTAGACCATCATTTTATCCATAACAACTAAATGCAAACTCTAAATCGTCAACTCGAACCATTAACCCTAAACCCCCGATCCTTAACCCCTGAACCATGGACAAAGACGGCATTCATAATTAATCAACTCAGTCCTAAGGAAGGTTTGTGATTGGACGAAACCCTGGTCAGTGATTACGTAAAAAACATTTCTTGGCACAGCAATCCTTTACAGAGGGTGGTTGATGCAGATTAAAATTCTGTGTTTTTATCGGGGTCGGATCAGAAACGATGATACAAAGGTGGACGACCGCAGGGTGGAGTGCATTTGTACAACTGAATTTTGGGCGAGACCAGTGATGGACTGGCTGCCAAAGGAGGGAATCAAACCCGAGCAGATGGCCACCGCGGAGATGGAACCATGAGATCCGTCTCTTGCGTGGGAACTTGAGGTATCGTGGCATCGCGAGATGGCGACGGGTCTTGGCGAGGCCTTCATCCAGCAGAGGATAGGCCACGGCTCGTGTTCACGAGTGACGCTTGCAACTGACAACGTCGCGAATTCACGATGTTGTCTGGGCATGGTACTCTACATTGGTGAGTAATGCGGTGGTGATGGTAGTGGTGGTGTGATTCATGTGCCAAATGTTCACCTGTCTATTACTGGCGAATGAATAACTTTGAGTCTCAAGCCGAGTCTTGCCCCCGCGTGCCAGAGCGAAATTGAATTTGCTGGAGTTGGACAACCGAGCCATGTGTAGTCACGGCCACGGAGGCTTTGTCCTGGGGTGTGGTGATTGTTTCAAACTCTCAGTTGGCCGAGCACAGGTCCAAAACGCCGAGTGGGCAGTAACAAACGGCACTGTTTGGGATGAAAGGTGTAATGGATGTGAGCAGGCGCGTTTCTTGACTTGAGGAAGCGTAAATATGGAACGTTTGTTCCAATGCTGGGCCAACGTTGGTCCAACATTGACCCAATGGCATGCTTACTGGGAAGGTGTCGACGCTGATTCGTGTGCTGCCAGTGCAGGAGCTGTGTCTGCACTTGCACGTGTGCAGCTCATTTCCTCAATCCACTGCTGGATGGAGGGACTCCTCCACTGTCCTTTTTTGGGTCTCAACCATCGTCGACATTCTGACGAGCAACTCGCGAAACGTGTCCACGGCGGTGTTTGCGCGCGTCAGATCTTCACAGCGAGCCTTGCCCCACATTGCTGGACGGTGCGTGTGCTGTGGTATTGTCAGCCGCTGCCGGATGAGGGCCTCCCTCCCACCCTCCCCCCGTGTGGGCTTGGGGGTTATTTGGCCATTCTTGGGTCAGTTCGGATTGGTGAAAGCGAGATGCGTAGATGTGGTACAATTATTATTAACTTGGCCACACTGTCCTCTGCTGCCCCAACGCCTATACCAACCTGTTTTTATTCATCTGCCATTGCCGAGAATGTCGCCTGTCATGTACATTTCTTTTCCCCCTTCGAAGGCTGCACGTTGTTGTTGATGAATGTGAATTTTATTCATGAGCACCTTTCCCATCAAAGCAACCCTCCAGGCACGGACCTGCTTGGTTTCTGAGATCTGATGGAGATGGGGCGAATTCCGAGTGATCTGCTCATAGGCTGCACATTTGGCGAAAGAACACGTATTTTTTTAAATCATCAGTTGGAGTTCCGCATGGCCCCCATTCAAACACGGCGGAATGCGGGACACGCTGATCCAACCTTTTGTATTGTATTCAAAAGGCTCATTCACCCTTCCAAGCAGCCCCATTCAATACAAAGGCTTTAATCACATCAATCACATTAGGCCAACCATTACGTCCCGTACAATAATAAAACCCACTGTTCCCATGGGTCCGAGGATCCACATGCGATGATCCACCTATTGACTTCTAGAATTAATTGAAAATTCAAATGCCGATTACTCCATGCTAAGGTCATCTTTGCAGCGACCAAGATCAAGCAAAACCACGGATAACGCAAACCGTGTTAATATTAGGTCAGGAAAACGCCCGTGTCTGTCAAAACAAACTAATTGTGAATTAGAATATTGGCGGTTAAAGCCCACGTATAAGACCACATCCATCGTCTACCTACGTGGAATGGGGAGGTGGGGGGGGGGTGGTGATAACATAGAATGCCGTCGTCCGTTCCTACCGCTGCTTAAAGCGATCGGTCGGTCGCAATGGGCCACTGGGCCGCCGGCCCTCCAACGATTGAGGAGCAGCGGACGATCAAAGCAGAAGTGCGAATCGAAATCCAGGTTTAATCTGCACGGTGGGTGACTCGGGCTGGCCGCTCGCCCGCGGGCAATTGAGAGTCACCGTGTCCACTCTGTGCATGCATGTGTGAGCAGGTGTCGCACTGTTCGCGACAAGAAGCCGAGCCTTGAGGACGAGACCTTTCCAAAGGCACAGACAAGAAGAAAGAAGTGCAGAGAGTGGAAACCCAGAAGGAGAAGAGGTGGAAGGAGCGACACGGGGCGAAGAGGAGGCGGTAAACACGGGAGGAGGAGGATTAGGAACGCGGGAGAAGAAGGAAGTGGGAACACAGGAAGAGAGGCAGAGGAGAAAGTGAGGGCGGAAGGGCATTAGGAATACCGGAGGAGGGATCGTTAACACGGCAGGAGCGTAAGGAGGAGACCGCAGCATTCGGCGGTTACTATGGCCGTGGAGGAGCGGCTGCATTCGCCGCACCGGGGCTTCCCGGCGTGGCTTGGCACGCGCGGGCTCAGCCCCGAGATCGCGCTCGCCATGGACACCGAGCTGGGGATCCGGGACTACGAGGTGCTGCTCGCCTGCGCCGAGGACCTGCAGGTTCGCTCCGAGCTCTTCTGCGTCGCCCGCGAGCGCCTGCCCTTCGGCTTCTACGCCGTGCTGCGCCGCGTGGTGGCGGCGTTCCCAGCGGAGCGCGTCGGCGACTGCGGCGCCGCCGCGTCGGGCCGATCGTGCCCCGGCCTTGGCTCGCTGCTGGAGGCGCTCGTGAACACGCTGAGCAGCCTGAGCCGCGAGCTCCTCCGCTCGGCCGACAAGCTGAGCGCGCTGGACGTGGGCACGCCCCGGGACGGAGACGGAGTTGCCGATTCCGGAGGCGCCGGCAGCGGCGACGGAGAAGCGTCGGAGCAGAGGCAACGGCAGCGCCAGCGTCGTAGCGGCACGCACCGCTATTCAGGTGAGCATGGGGGTGGGGTGAGGATCCTCGTCGCGTGGAAACGGGCGACTGCATTTTGGAACGCTTGGAATGTGGAGAGCAGTGGAGGGTTGTTAATGAAGCGGTTCAGGTGACATCTTCCCTCAGCTTGCTGTCGGTCATTTGAGGGCATTTTTCAGTCCGCTGCTGGTGGAAGGCCTCCCCACGGTGTGTCAGTCGTAGAGGTTGTTTGGCTGCCATGGTGGCGAGGACGTAAACTACCTCGCCAGGTATACAGGAAGTCGTGGGTTCGATCCCAACCCTGACGGCTGTATATTTGGAGTTTGCTTCTCTCTCCCCGTGGCCGCATGGATTTTTCTCTGGGATCCTCCAGTTTTTCCCTCCACATTTAGGAATCAACATGCGTTTAGGGTATATGGCTGCTGTAAATGTCCACGTGATAAGCCACTTCATTGAGCTATCATTGTGGCCAGGTTTCTTCTGAAAATGAGCTATATAGCTCAATGGTCCTTACCTGGTAAAATAAAAAATAGTTAAGACCTCACTGACCATACTGGTCAGTCAGGAATGGTGAAGGCATGACGGGAGACCGAAACCGGTTAATATATCACTGCACCACCGATGTTAGCCGGAGCCGGGAATCGACGGTCGCTGGGTTTATAGTGCTGTGAGCTAACCGCTGCCCCACTAGCTCTCCTAGTTCCGAAGTCTTTGAGGACCGGGCAAGGATTAAGGGTCACTGTCGTTGGCGCTGGAACAAGCAGTGTGATGGCGTCGTGCTCATTTTGTGGTTTCCGAGCTCGCAGTGGAAATTCCACATTCCTATCGTTGGAGGCAGTCGTTGTGTAGGACAGCCTCCTGTTGACTTCCCACAGGGCCGTCCTTTTTTTCTTTTCTCTTCTTCGGGGGGGTCCCGCAACATCGGGATAATGTTTGGCCACGAATGAATTCGGTTCACGAGAGTTTGGCTTCCGCGTGGGAGTAAACTGGCGAGCTCGGAGAAAACCCCCACCGCTTAGAGCGACGCGATGCTGATAGCCACCTTTGGGATAACATTTTGGGGTGGGGGGGTAGGTGGGGTGGGGTAGAGGGGAAAACAAACACGTTAACCCTTGCCCATTCCGAGGCGTCTGCAAGTGGCAGGGTGTGGGTCCCGTTCACCACTGGATCTCGGAACGTGCAAGCGGCTCCTCGTTAATTTGATTTAGAGAGGCGTAGCGCCGATTTATTTAAAGACATGGCACTCACCGCAGAGAACCGTAGCGACATGACCGCACTCAATGATAGCTGGCGCCAAACTGTGCCACGCGCCCTTCCGCGTGGCCTTGTGGGAGCCTCGGTACATCTTGCGACGTGAAGACGTACCAATAAAATTATTTTATTTTAGTTTTTCCTATGATTCGTGATGAAACGGATGATGTACGCGTACGTCATCGGAACGGTCGAGGGATTATAATGAGTTAATGGACGCCCGTGCCCAGATGTTGCCGACCACGGCACCGAGGAAGTGTGCGAGATGCCAGCCGAGGAGGTGGACGACCACGACGACGGCGAAGAGGAGGAGGATGTGGAAGTGCCTTCGGGATGGAGAGTCAACCAGGTGGCCGAGACCTACCCCAAGCTCCCTGCAGGTAACGTTAGGGCGACGCCGGGCGGTGGTGGTGGCGGCCACGCTGCTGTACGCTGGCTGCCTGTAGTCCACCGCTGTGCGGGCAGCAGCGAGAGGGTTGGTGGATCGCGCAGATGTCGTGAAACTGCTTCACCCCCCCCCTCCCCCACCGTGGGCATCGTGGATGTGCCCTACCCTGGCTTGCCAGGAAGAAGGCGGTTCGGCGAAGTGTTGAGTAATCTCCATCTGTTCCTTCTTCACGGGAGTGTTGGCCCCCTCCCCATTTCACACCTGCTTAGCTTTCGAGGTCTGACAGAGACCGGGAGGCTGATTTCGATTTTATCCATTTCCTGTTCCGATGACGTACGTGTATGTCATCAAAAGGAAACCGGAAAAAAAGCAAAAATACAATAACTTTATGGGTAACGAGGCTCCCACAAGGCCATGCGGGAGGGTGTTTGGCACAGTTTGGCGCCTGCGGGGAGCATGGTGTCTTTAAAAACAACGGCACTACGCCTCTCTAAATAAAATAACGCTGAGCTGCTTGCGCATTCCGAGAGTCAGCGGTGAACGTCTCGGAATGGGAAAGAGTTAAGTGTGAGCGAGCGGGTGGGCGGGCAGACTAATAACGGGCGTCACTGATTGGTTACAGATTCCGCGCAAGGGCCCCTGCTGAGGATGAGCGAGATGCTGACCTCGGCGACCTCGGCGACCTCGGCGACCTCGGCAACCTCTCCCCCGGTGGTGGAGGTTGGCGGTTCGGAGCTGGAGACCGGCCAGGTCGTGGTGAAGGCGGAGGCTTTGGACGAAGGTGAGTTTCCACCCCGGAGGTTGCCAATCGATCGGCGTTTACACGCGGCGCCACTGGGCCCCCGGTGACACGGATGTACAGGCACTCCTCGACGTACGCGATAGATTCGTTCCCGGAAAAGCGCGCGTATCTCAAAATCGCGTTACGTGAAAAGCAATTTTCTCATAAGAAATTTATGGTCAAGGAGGGAGGTTCGGGGATTTCACTCCCACTCGCAGACATAATCGCCTATATTATCTGAGCCTATGTCAATACAATACAACTACACACGATATAATACTTGAAATTAAAAAGGAAAATCGTGTAAACTCCGATATACTTCCTAGTAAATTCAAAAAAGAAAAACAGTTTTACTTGTAACTACGCCGGAGTTGCGATGTGGAGAGGATGGATGGAGACGACGAGGAGGGAGACAGACTTGGAGTTGAGGAGCCGCACGTGCGTGGATAAAGAGTGGGTGGAGTTGCTGGAGGGAAGGTGGGAGAGAGAGAGAAAGCGCAAGAGAGAAGTTGAGTAAAGGAGAGAACGAGAGAGGGAGAGTGGCGGAATCAACTTTACATCGTGCGATCACAACGAGAGACAAAGGGAAGAGTGCCGATGTACACGCGGCGTGATGCTGTACGGCACAGCACACCGATTATTGTACCGCACTGGCTGCTGGCATCGTCATTGGGTCGCGGTGCCAGGCTAGGATGGCGTTAATCCCAAAATTGCCTCGCTGTATGTAAATGAAAGGTCTAAATACAAAGCGTGCCGCGTTATTCCAAAATTGGCGTACCGCAAAAGCACGTAAACCGAGGATTGCCTGCAATCGCGATTGTGAAAAGAGTGCGGTGGTTGACGAAGTTGTGATTAACTCAGAGAGCCGTGTTCTTGACATGACGGTTAAAAGTCAGCCCAAAATGAAGTTCAAGACCAAACCTGATGTGTGAATGACTGGAGACTGGGCTCAGGCCATTAACCCCCCCCCCCCCACACTTGCGAAAGCCCGGTTGTAGCCTGGATCAGAACCCAGGATCTCAGAGGGGCCAGTACAGCACTCTGACTTCTAAGCCACCCGTTATCCTCTACAAACAAATTACGTTTCCTCTCCTTTCTCCTGGTCGATGCCGCCGGTTGATGCCGTTGTTGTTGTTCGTTACAGGCGGCTGGGGCAGGGAACCCGAAAGAATCTGGAACCCCGCCAGCGCCCTTTATGTTCAGCAGCAGCAGGTGGTGGCAGACATCAAGCCGGTCGCAAGCGTTCGCCGCATCCCGGCGCCGGCAAGGAACCCGGCTCGCAGTGGCGACCGCCCGCTGTCGCATCCCTACCCGCTGTCGGCGCGCGAACTCGGCGAGACCGGCGGCACCCATCACCACCACCACCGCCCTGTAATCGCCGCGCGCCCCGGCGCGCCGGACGACGCCCCGACCTCCGCCGCCGCCGCCACCGACGAGTGGAACGGGCAGCTCGCGCTGGCGCCCGGCGAAGGCGGCGGCTACGGCGACGGCAGCGGAGACGGCGGCGCCGGCGTGTTCGGCCGCAACGCGAGCCGCTGCGAGGAGTGCGGCAAGGAGTTTTCGACGCCGTCGTACCTGACGATCCACCGGCGCACGCACACGGGCGAGCGGCCGTACAACTGCGAGTTCTGCGGGCGCTCGTTCGGGCACCTGGCGGTGCTCACCAGCCACCGGAGACGCCACACGGGCGAGAAGCCCTTCACGTGCAAGGTGTGCGGCAAGGCCTTCTGCCAGAACTCGAGCCTGGTGTACCACATGCGCACGCACACGGGCGAGAAGCCGTACACCTGCGACGTGTGCGGACGCAAGTTCACGGTCTCCAGCAACTTCATTAAGCACCGGCGCTCGCACTTCTGAGTGCCGGCGGTGGTGGTAGCAGTGGTTGGTTGCGATGGTGGCAGTGGTGGTGGTCGCGGTGGTGGTAACAGTGGTGGGGCTGCGATGGCAATGCCACCGCCGGGATGGAGAGGGAAGCCGCGCTCTTCTTGACGATCGCCGTACGTTACGCACGTGCGGACGGTCGATCGATCGGGTACGGCAAGCTGGCGAGGTGGTGTGAGCGCAGTTTAAAGGCGGTACTACAGCAAGTAGGTTGTTAGGCTTGCGTGCGCTGTGCAGGAGTGGTTGAATGTCTAAAAAGCAGGAGCCTTTTGGGACGAAATACGATGGATGGCACCATAGCTTGAGACGTTGCACAGGACGACCGGGCATATTTGATGGCCCAAGAGAAAGATCTCTTGAGCCTGTACATGAAAAGTGGCAGGGAATCGACAGCATGGATGGCTGGGGAAAGGAAGTTCTAGACTGTGGCGGCAGCAGAGGAGAATGAGCGACCGCCCACCGAGCCACAGCTGGCTTCGACGGAAAGCCTTGGTAATTGGAGTGCAGCAGAGGAGGGGAGTAGAGTGAGACAGCGAGATGAGATGGGGCGGTGTGGGGGGTGGGCGTGTAGACGTCACAGCCTACTTGCTGTACTGTCACCACCAGGCAGCTCGTCGATCCCGACCCCACCGCGGTTTCGTCACCGCTGCGCGATCCGCTAGCAAGGCGTGGCGGTTGTCCGTGGCGGGTCCGCTGTGGATGTGTGTGTTTAACTTCTTTCGCCCCGTACCTAGCCAACCGTGCTAACCGGAGGCGCGGGATATTGCGCCCGCGCGGATATCCGGAGCAGCCTCATTACGAAGCCAGTACAAACCGACTGAGCATCACTGTGTGCACACTTCGTGTCCAAGGACACAGACACGACAGCGACAGGAGGATGAAGGAAATCATCGCAAGTGCTTTTTTATATTCTTAGCTCTTTAGGTAAAGTCACGTTGAAGGGAAACAATAAAATAATAAAGTATGTATAAAACAATAAAAATTCTCATGACGTTTCGACCATAACACAAACGGTCATCATCAGGTGTGAAAACCAACGGCAAGAAACATTTGAAAGAAGTGGCGGTTTGCATTTATTTATTTTCAAACGGTGTTTGTATTCATTTATTTTTGAAAAACGTTAGCACCACAGGCAGCGATTTGGCAGTTTGTTTAGAAGGATGAGTCCATCTATGTTCTGAAAAGAGGAGGGGGAGACGAAAAATTAATGTATGCTGTCTGAAAACCACCGTAAGCGTGAACAATCAATTAAGACCTGAAATGGTTTATCAAATCCTTCCAATGATTGCTAAGCCAGAATCCATCTTTTTGGTGACCGTTTGTGTTATGGTCGAAACGTCGTGAGAATTTTTATTGTTTTATATTTATTTTATTGTTTCCCTTCAACGTGACTTTACCTAAAGAGCTAAGAATATGAATTACTGCAGTCATGAAAGCTTTAAATCGAAATTTAAGTGCTTTTTCGTTTTCAAGCGTGGATATGAAGTGTGTTTTTTTTATGTTGGTTACTTTTCCCCGTTTGAATTGTGGGTGGTGTGCGCCGGCGGCTGGAGCGGCGATGCTCGTTGGGATTCGTGGCCTCTGCCGCCACCGCTCGGCACGCGCCGATTGACCGGGCGCGCCGATTCACCGGGCGCGCCGATTCACCGGGCGCGCCGATTCACCGGACGCGGGCGGAGGCCCTCAACGCCTCCGACTTTCGCCACGACTTTGGCGGGGGTTTTGTAGCAGCGGCGTGCCATTGCGTGGAACTCCGACGCGATGCTGGGGAGACGCTGTGCCATGCCATACCTAGCTCGGCACAGCATCCAACGGAAACGCTCCACGTGCTGCTCGTTCGGCAACCGAATATTCGGTTGACCTCCGCTTGGTGGAAGAGGTCTCTCGTTCTGTCCTGTTGCCCCCCACCCCCCCACAACGACCCCTTCACCACCATTAGGAAGTTTACGGGCCAGGAGTAGAATGTTGGACAGTTGTGCCGAACAACACAAGGTATAACCCCCTACTTTCCCCGAAAGCACATCGGAGAGAGATTTATTTTGGTCTAATCTGTCGAATCGGCCTAATCAGTGTGCCGAAACAATGTTGGCCAGCAGAGGCAGCAGTTAGTTTGGACGTTTGTGGGTGAGACAATAATTACAATCGATCCTTCCCCCCCCACTACCCTCTGCCAATTGTATCCGACCGGCATGTCGGGAGATATAAATTCCCATTCGGAAGTCTGTAGACTGCCGATTCTGAAGTCTGCTCAGTCGTGACAATTAAGGCCGGACTAAAAAGCATTTCTCTTCTGTCGATTTTAATTTTTGTTTAAATCTTTCCCACCCTCTTTGTTTAGGGAACGGCCCGAGAAGTTGATGTCGTAGAACTACTTCTGAAGTCACTTCAGTAGGGGGGGGGGGACCTCTTTATCCATCCATCTCTTCACTTGCCGATAAAAACGACGTTTAATTCCCAGAGCCACAATTCGGGGAAATTCGTTGAGAAACTAAGCTCATGTTTTTATTAACGTGTGGTCATTGGTGACCGGGCTGATAGCCCCCATCGACTCAGGGCGCTGGAGATCCCTGTTTCATCCGCGAAAACCTGGAGTCGAACCCAGGTCTCGGTTGTTCCGACTCAAGTGGCCCTGACTACACTCTGTGAGCAACCGGGCCAAATCGGTTTCACGAATCGATCGGCAAACTCCGAATCGTGACCATGAATCGAGTCGGTGAGTCGCCGCATGCCGTGTGATCGGTGAAGTTTATCTCGTGTGCGTGAATCTTCTGGCCAGTGTGAATACTGTAGCCTTACAATGGTAATAATTTATAGACCTTTGTCACTCCACTGCTGGATGGAGGCCTCGCACCACCCCATGTCGGTCGTGGGAGTGAATGTTTGACCATACTTCATGACGGTGGTCAATGTGACTCGATGCAGGGTGCCACGGTCCGAGACCCGCTGGGATCACCGATGTTAGCCATGGCCGGGAATCGAACTCGGGTCACTGGGTTCATAGTGCAGTCCGCTAACGACTGTGCCGGCACTGCACCCCACTGGAGCTATAATAATTTCATATTTCCTTACGCAGGAAAGCCTCAGTGAGCCTCAAGAATATGTTTGCAGGGAGGTCCTGCTGCTACACATTGGTATGTTTGGCGATTTGAAATGTACGAGTCGTTGGCTGCGTGTGGGAGGCAGAGTACCCGAAGAAACCCCATCACGCGGATCCGACAGGAGTGGAACGAGCAAGCAACCCACTTGCCGTACTGCCACGTGATCCGGCCCTTGCTTTTCGGCGGGGGTGCGGGCATCTCTGCATGATCCACCAACCCCACGGGCTCGCCGCCTTCTACCCAAGTCCCAATCTGCCGCGACTCTCACCTCCTCCCACGATCGGCTGTATGCAACGGGGGCGGGGGAGCGGGGAGGGGGGTGGGGGCCCACGTGCGTTTTCTGGAAAGTACCGTAATCTTCTGTTAACTTTCGACAAAAAGCTGTTACCAAAAAAAATCATAGAAATTTTTTTTGCCCTCTGGGGCTAAAAGTTCGTCTCACGCAGGACCAATAATAGAGCCGTTTTACCGTGAGCGCCGATGAGTTTTTAGTGCCGCGGTGAAGGAGGGGGCCACGAGACTGTTGTGACGGCAAGGGCTTCTGCATTTATTTGTGCCGGGTCTGTCCCGCGGTGGTTGTCGATGAGGTATTTCCCAGACCCGGCACTCCCAAGTATACCTCGCCAATGGCCGTGTGGCTACCGATAGTCGCGTAGCCTTGCTCCAGTATTGCCAGCGCGCGACACCGGAACAAATGGTCACAACTGTTATTTATGAAAGTCCCGGTTGTAGTGAAGCGATCGAACTGCAATAAATAACTGCGTAGGTGGTTGCGTTGTTGCGGCGTTGGCGGTTCTGCCGCCGCCGCCACGTTGTGTGGGGGACGCGGCGCGTGCCGACGTTTCGCTGCGCGTGCCTGGAGACTTTTCTGAAAGCGAGGAGGACGTGGAGCGGTGCACGTGGTCACGTGGTACTGTACCGGGAGGGCCGTGCAGTTCGGTTACGCCGGCTGGTTTGGATGGGGCTGGTGATGCTTTTGTGGTCGGCGCTTGCATTGAATTGTGGGGGTTTCTTTTTTGTGTGTCTATTTGGCAATCGCTGAAACGAACGTTTTGGTTACCGTGTCTGTGAATTGTCTAACACTGGTTTTGAGTTTCGTTAAATATTCGCCGGCTGTTCCTTTGCGTTTTGAGTTTGTTGGTTTTTCAGTCTACAGTATTTGGGGGGAGTTGGTTTGTGTTAATGATGTCACTGAAGTTTTGTCACTAATAAGTTACGAACTACTGGGCCTGTTGTGTTTTATACGGTGTTAGCGAATTGACACAAAGTCGCTCTGCTCACTCGAAAATGTTATTCATTGACGATCATGTAATGCTAATCACGATCTTTAATAATTAGCACACGTTTTTGAATGACTTGATGAAGACAATGCTAAGATTGGCACGGACTTTATGTCAAGTTAGTCCGTCTAGAGTCTGTTTACTACTACTACTAATGACGACGATGATGAAGTGTCGAGCGAATGTCACGTTTTGTGTTTTTATTTTGTTTTGTATGATTACGTTGTTTTTCCTGCATGTGTGCCGAACATTTGATGCAGCGCATAGGAGGATCTGTACGGGCGCCGTCGCCTCTGGGTGAAAACGACGATGTTATGCATTTCCTGTAATTAAATGATAACACTTCAAGACTTCGGCCGGCGTTTGGTGCGCGAGTGTTTGTGTCGCTTTCGTTGGTTTTGGAGGAACAGTGGCGCAGCGGTTAGCGAAACTGCGCGACAAAACCCGGCGCTGACCAGTGGTGGGTTTCCAGCTCACGGCCAACAACATCGGCGATGAATATCTGAACCGGTCCTGGGGGCCTCCCCTAGGTCTACTCGGCCTTGCAAGAGAGTACCTGGTGCGGTCTGTATAAAATATTAGCACTGGGGAGACAAAGGCGGCCGGGCGTGCGTGGTGTTGGCCATTGTAGCGAGATCTTAACTACCTCGCCTGCTATACAGGAGGTTGTGGGTTCAATTCCGACCATAACGCCTCTATATTTGGAGTTTTAGTATCTCTCTGCAGTCGCGTGGATTTTTCTCCATGCCTTCTGGTTTTTCCCCGCCACAATTAAAATGTAAACGCGTTTTAGAGTATTTGGCTGCTGCTATAAATTTCCACGTGACGATAAGCCACTCTTTGTCGAGCCATCATTTTGCGATGGCAAAGTCGCTTCTGAAAAAAAGTTACATCGCTCAGTGGGCCTTTCCTGGTCAAATAACAAAAAAAATTGTTGAGTTAATAGTTTTTCGTGTGTCGTGCGGGCCTTCATAGACGCTCGATAACAGCACTTGCCCCAACAGCACATTACAGACGGTCTCCGATTTACGAACACCCGCACTTACGAACCAGCCTCCGTGAATTTTTTTTTTTAACACCGACTTAAAACGCGAACTCTCACTTGCAAATTTAACCACGGCACTCTTTTGCAAATTTAACCACGGCACTCTTTTTTTTTGTCCGACCGAGCGATCCTCCGCGAGATGTAAACGAGTCATCCTCGTGTTGGGAGTGAGAGCTTTGTGTGTTTATGATCATTTAAATATAGTAGATTACTGTTCCTACTTACGGGTCCCCGGGAACGAATTTGGTTCGTAAGTCGAGTGCTGCCCTAAATGCTAAACGGGCGTGGTGGTGGTGGGGGGGGTGGGGAGAGATGTCTTTGTCATTGTCTCCAAGTCACGAGGATAACGAAGCAATTAGGAAATCTCGCAGGGGGGCAGCTGCCGTTAACCACCTGTGTGTCGGGAGTTCCAGCTGCAGCGGCGGCTCTTCAAGAAGTGCTTCTGAAACGCCCTTGGAAGCGGCGTTTACGTTCGCGCACAGGAGGTGGCACACTCGTGCCGTTCAACAACGCTGCTGTGAAATTGTAACGGGACGTTGCAGTCTTAAAAACCGAGGGAGCTTTTCGTTCTCAAAGAGTTGCGCTCTGTT